TACCCTAAACTCTACAAAAACCGAAACCCTTGAAAACACAACCCTGTAAAAACCTGCATGCCTTCGGTCGGGGGTGTCTCCTCGCGGCTGTCGTGCTTGTACAGGAGGTTGCCTGCAGAGAAGAGACGATGAAAATGTGGGACAATGGCACATCCCCGGCCTAACATGTCGAGGATCCTCCACTTCTTCTTCTGCTTGTGCCAACCGAGGATGGCTGAGCTGTTGCTCCATGTGGCGTCCTGCATGGAATAAAAAAGGATGCCCTTTTTGGTTTAAAGGGCCTTATAAGGGAACTGTCCTCGTTCGGCAGCAACACCTCCAGGAGCCCGCACCGATCAAAGGCCCACCATTGCGGTGAGTCCTGACCAGCACACACATCTTTTTGGTTGCATGGGAGACAGGAACCAGGCCTCCGCCACATCAGGGCTGATCATGCAGCTATAACCCGTGCACGACATGGTCTACAGGCTACAGCTGCACACGAAAAAAGCTCGAAGCCTGAGCCACATGTCGCAACCGATACATGAGGAGACCGATGCACGTGCACAGAACCGAGCACCACGAGGAAGCAAGCACTTGCAGCAACCGGCATATTTGGCACATGAAGTTCCTGCATGCCAGCGAGAGAAAATTATGCGATATGTGCACACATGTATATATGTTCCTGCCAACGAGCAAATTGCCCTGCTGACGAAAACCTACTTCCTGCAGGCCTTGGCCCTTTTAGGCTTGATCGTCTTTCGTGGCTTGGCCTCAGAATGCTTGAAGCTGGTCTGGATGTGCTTCACGACATCGTCCTTCAGTTCCAGCCACATAGTCCGAGTGCCCACCCCCTCGAACAAAGTTCGGCATTGGACCTTGTTGCCATCCTCGGCCTCGCCGGGCAAGTCAATCTGAATGCTGTGGGGTGCATAAATGTCATGCTTCTGTGTAGCTTTGAACTCCTTGGTTTTCTTGGTCTTCTTCTGGGCCTTCTCCGGCTGTGGGGCTTCGTCATTCTCTTCATCCTTGAGTCTTTCGGAGATAGCCTCGTTGAATGCTTCTTGGCGACGGGCCAACATGTTCTCGAAGAAAGGTGTGTCGAGTGACAAGTTTTGATTGTCCGTATTCTTCCTCAGATCCAAGCCCTTGCCGTACACGAACCGAAACAATCCTCGATCCCACTTGCTCACTTTGAACCATGTGACTCCCTCGGCCGTCTTTTGTTCCGGGATCCAAGTGAGCCCTGACCCGTATGTGACGATCTGTTTTGTCACCACCGTGGGTGCGGTCATCTCCTCATCTTCCTGCTCCATGCTGGCAAAGCTACGAAATCACGGATGAAGCTGGAGCTGCAAAACTTCGTGAATGACATGCAATCATGAATGCCATGGCTTTTGGCGCTTTTACATGCAATCGTGCTCGCAGTCATGCACACTTGCACACATACACGGGCTCGGGCATCTTTCCTGCAGGCTGCAAGTGCATGTTCTTTCATGTGCATGGATCGTGGTGGGCAGCACAGCTGCTGCATGGTTCAAAGCAATGGAGGAAGTGCCCGTGAGCTCTCTCGGACAGCTGCACACAAAATGGCATGGGATGCATCACACTCGGGCTTCAGGAGTCTCCCGGCTTCTTGGAGCAGATTCGCTTCCTTGGCGGGGTGTCAACCTGCAAGGCCTCGACGTGCACAGTCTTCTCGGCCTTTGGCATATACAGCACATCGTCCTGCTGCAGGTCCAGGGTGTTCTTGAGGATGGGGAGTTGAACCTTCTTGTCTCGATTGGACTTGACATGCGAAACCTCGCAATTCCAAGTGTCACTCACGGGAAGCGGCTGCACAAGGAATGCAGGATTGATGAAGCCAGCATCCCCTTCGGCTTTCGGAATCTGAATGAACGAAACAATCCAGAAGAAGTAGTCACTCATGGGGGTGATGATATCGAAAATCGCATCCTCGGGCTTCTTCTGACCGTGCTTGATCGTCAAACCCATGGGGACCATGATGAGCTTGTTTTTCGGGATGAATGCCGTGGCTTGGACTGACTTACGAGGCTTCAAAGTGACCCTGAGCTTCTGCAGCATGGGATTCGTGTCGTGCTTTTGCATGAGCTCATGCATGTCCATGTACAAGCATGCCAACAGCATCTGTCGCTCGTATTCGGGGAAGTTCAAAGGCGAATACACTGACAAGTCATCCACCGTCTGGGGTTCCGGCTTGGGTGTGTAGACCTGCCAGTGGCCTGCGAGAAAGCTGTCGATCGACACCCGCACTACGGACCCCGAGGGCTGCTTCAGCTTGACACGGCCAAGCTCGATCGCCGTCACCTGGCCAGTTTCCTGATCCGCCTTGCGACGGACATATTGGCCGACTGAAAAGCCGGACTCGGCCATCATCACCGCTGAATCCTTCACCGAGCCGTCGGAGCTCAGCTCCCTCATGATGGCCATGGGTGCTCCCACCTGTTTGGAACCCGATGCCTCACCCGAATCTGCGACCTTGTGTGCCGCCCAGGGCCCATTCAGGTCTGTTTTGAGGATGCCTTCCAAAATCAGGACGAGGTCATGGGCGAGGGATTGGCTTGTCTTATACTTCTTCAAGTCTTCACCGGGCAACATCACATTCAGGGTGAAGGCAGCCAAGGACATGTCCCCATAGGACAAGCAGGTCTGCACTTCGGGTTTCATGAGAAGCTCTGCACCATCCGGCAGGGCCGTCACAAGCTTTCGCCACGTGCTCATGATGGTGTCTGCCTCCTTGACAGAGGCCGTTGAATCCTTGTGCAACATCTTCTTGCACTCGGCAGACCCCACAGCTTCTTTGCAGTATGCAAGCTTCACCTAAGAGCAGCAGCAACAACAACAACAACTAGCAACCTCGGCCTTGCAATCCCATATGTGACCTGTACATGCATGCATGCTTATGAATCAAGTGGCCATGGCATGCCGGAACCGTGGGAATTGGTTGGAACCTTTGACATCGGCACTGACCTTCTCCCAGAAACCAGGTCCCAATGAACGTGTGCTGGGGGAATGCAACCTAACGAAGGTTTCAGTCTCGTTGAGCAAGAACGGATCTGTGCCACCCGCAGTCTTCAACACGAAACTGTAAAGATGCGGCATGGACTTGCCATGCACGGACTTCCCCGTGGTGACTTTGCTCTTCAGTGCCAGGAAGTCCACAGAACCCTGAGAGCTCATCTGGACCCAAGTCTGATGCAGCCGTCTCATCAGTTGGAGCTCGTGTTCGCCACGGTGAAGTGTGGCGTTTCCCATCCTTTGGACAAGTCCCAACAGCTGCGGCAGCTGGGCAGCGACGTGCTTTGACAAGATCTTCCAAACGACTCCTTCGCGAACCGCCCTCGCGAAGTCCGGATCGTGCTTCCGAAGCAGCTCCATGCTGAGTCTTCCATCATGACACACGGTCTCGTCTCCTTCATGCATGACCTCATAGTGGAAGCACCGCAAGACCGAGTTTGTGTGTGACCCTGCCAGGGAGAGTGCTTTGATCATCGTGGGCTCCAGGGGCCCACAGCGATCATGCATGCTTTGGAAGAGACGGACATTCCAATCGATGTCCTCTTGCCCAGTTGGCTCATGGGCGATGGCCTGGACCCTGGCATCAAGCCAGCCGGCTTGAACTATGTCGCCCAGAAGATCGTGGACATCTACGGGATTAATCCCGCTCCCGTCGCGGTTCTGGGAACTGATCCCGACCATGGTCGGTTGAAGCTGCATCGTGTAGACGTGGCCCTGCGACTCAAGCTGGCTGATAGCCGCATGCACCGTCTTTACAAGTCGATCGCCTTCTTGCGCCTGTTGCAGCTTGAACGAGATGTCCGCAACGAGATCAGCAGACAAAGCCATGCTGTGTTTCGGAAGCGGTCGGTGTGTGTGTGCAGTGAGTGCTGTCACAGCCAAGATGCTGCATGCAGATATGAACTGTCAGTTTGAAAGTCATGCAAGAATGTCGTGACAGCCTGCCGGCGAGCAAATTGCCCTGCACGACGACTTCCTATATACACATGCAGGGCATCGTATACCACTGCATGTACACGTGATGCAAAGACTGCAAGTGTATACACATACATGCAAACACTGCATGAAAGCTGCAAGCATCACTGCATGTCTCTCATGATGGGAGTCTCGACATGGCCAAACATGCTCGGAACACTGAACTCATCACTTGCAAAGAAGCGGGGGGCGGAAGCACCTTTCGATGCCGTCGACGTCGGCAACCACCAGCTGCACCGACCTGCAAATGCTTTGCCCCGATGAAGTTAGGGTACTTATATAAGTACTTATAAATGACTTAGATAACCGATATAACCGTGTCCAAGTACTTATCTTCCACTTACAGCATTTGTCCCAAGTCACTTATAAATGTGCTAAGTGCTTATTAACTCAAACAACTACTTATAACCACCCTCGCTCACTTACTAAGTTCAAAAACACACTTACCCAACATGGTACACTTATAAGTCAAGATAGCCCGATTATAAGTTCACTTGCAGGCTTTACTAACCACCGCAACCCGCCCATTCGGATACTAAACAACACGATCCTTCAAGTACCTGTATACTGATCTTGCCGCTGCCCCTAGTCGTTCCAAAGACATGCTGGCGTCCCGCCCTGTGCTCCAACCCCAGCAGTATTCGCACCCAAGCGGACGTGCAGCTTTCGAGACAAGAGCCGGAGGCCCCTCTAGCGAAGGTAGCGATACCGATAGCCAGGCTGAAGGCTCCACTGCGGGTTTTGACGTCAACTGGGAAGCTAGCCAAGCGCACCTTGAGCACCTTGAAAGGACCACTGGGCTCACTTTTATTCAGAGGGTTAGGCTCCGCAGGCAACTTGAAGCTGGTGGGATTGTTGACCCTCCCCCTTTTTTGTGTCGTTTTGGAGGGACTCCCGAATGGCTCCTTCCACCTGAAACCAGCCCTAGTAGGACTTCTTTGAGTGCGCAGACTGCTGCTTCGTCTAGTGATCAGTTGCCGCGGAATCCTCAGAGACCTGGCTCACGCATGTCTCCGGAGTTGCTTTCTTTGCTCCAGCAAGCGTTCCGCTCTCCCCGGCGCACCGCCTCCCCGTCCACACGGATCATGGCCGAAGCAGCTCCGCCGACCGGAATGGGGAACCGCCAACTTCGTGAGTGGATACAGGAATGGGGCAGTGCGTGGGATTTCCTCGGCCTCGCCCCCGGCAGCGCCATGAGTGAGGTTCTTCGCGCATACAAGCGCACGGCGGTCCGCCTCCACCCGGACAAAAGTCCACCTGATGAGGTCGAAATGGCCACTGTGCGCATGCAGGCCCTGGGGAATGCCAAGGAGATCCTCCTCAATCCAAGCCTACGGATTCTGCACGACAATATCCTGGGCGTTGGTGTGACTGGTGGAACAGCCCCTCCTCCTTCGAGTGCCGCGCCGGATGGTGGTTCTGGCGGCACCGCCCCGCACCATGGTTGGTGGAATCAAGCGCCTCCGCCAAAGGCCCCACCGACGAGCTCGAGTTCCTCGGCACCACCTCCTTCGAGCAAGAGCGCTGGGAAGGCGCCACCGCCAACTGGACGTGGACCTGGCCCGAGCACCTCGGCCCGCGGCACGGCAAAGGGCAAGAGCAGAGGCCGATGGGGCACCCCTTTCTACGACTCCTCCAGCAGCGAAGAGTTTGAAAGTGCTGGCCCAGACACCGAGTCCTCTGGTCCTGAGATCGACAGATACCCGCGCATTCGATGCGGGCGTGTCTTGAGGTTCTGCCGCCAATGTGGTCACCATCAGTACTGGGGAGACGCCTGGTGCATGAGGTGTGGCTGGGTGAGACATCACCGAAGGTGGAGGCATGAACGTCGACCCAGCGAACACAAAGGACCAACCTTCGGGTATCGCCGACAGCAGAAGGGTTCGTCAAAGGGCCCCTATGGTGACCACCGCCCAGGAGAGCCCTCTGGAGGCAAAGGGCCCACTGGTGATGGAGAACCTCCACGTGGACCTCAGACCAGTGGATATGGTGGAACAGGGGAAGCTCCTCCAGGACACGAACCTGGTTCTTCGTCATCGGGCGCTCCGCCCCGGAGCAACCCATGGGAGCGAGCAAAGACGGCCCCGCCTCCTCCGCCTCCGAGCTCGGGTGATTCTGGCCCAAGTTCAGCACCCCCTCCTGGAGGAGATCGCAGTTTCTGGAACTGCAGCCGGTGTGGCTGTATCTTTCCCGTGTCGGAAAATTACTGCTCGAGATGCTGCATTCCCAGGCCAGCGTACAAGGCACCGCCAAAGGCGCGCCCTAGCAGTCCATCCTCGGCGCCCCCACCCACGAAGGCTGCTCCAGCCCCGAAGCCATCCCAAGCTCCCAGGCCGGAAGCCACTCCGCAAAAGGCGCCTCCAAAGGAGAGAATCCCGACCAAGGCGCCACCGCCCTCCACCTTCAACAATACAATGAGGTGGATTTGCGGAGGCTGTGGAGAACCTAATGGTCTCCACCGATATGGGTGCAATGGATGTGGCCGCTCTCAGCACGCCATGGGCAACGTCCAGGAGAGAGCCACGCACTGGATTTGCCCTGACTGTCAAGGAGAAGTGTCAGTCAAGGCCAACCAATGTGTGGGGTGTGGATGCTGGCGCCCAAGGTACGGGGAGCTCCTCAACAATGGACCCGCCCCCGATGACTTGCTGGTACACCCGAGGGCGTCTACAGCCCCAGTGGTGCTTAACCGCCGGGACACTGTGGATGGGAACCCCGGTCTTGCCGTGGCCCAGGAGGCCCACAGCGGGAAAGCTTTTCAAGATGGTGCGGGCGCGGGAGGTCCCCCACCGGGCCTTGACAGAGACGAGCAGATGGAGGGAGAGCCTCAGGCGACACCGCCCTCTGCCGCTGCAACCTCGCCTCAGCCACCACCACCTATTCCGACACCGGAGCCCAAGTCGGTCTACTTTGCCAAGAAGGGTCTTGGAAAGGGCAAGGGCATGGGCGCTCCGCCGGAGGGACCTTTGCCCCACACCCCGGCTGCCCCGAAGAGCTACGCCCCCGGGGACTTCGCGAATGTCGGCGCTCCGCCCCCTACCTCTGGAAGCCTGCAGCCTGTCTGCGACCCTCCGCATGGACCTGCACCGAAGAAGGCCAGAGGTCCCACCGAGGAAAGTCGCCCTATGGCGATTGTGGCTCCAAATGGGGAGGCTTTGTGGTTCACGGTGAGAGACCTGGACGAAACGACGCCTCGGCTGGTCCTTCCTTGGACCATCTTCCAGCACGTCGTCATGTCCCGCAGGGCCCTTTGTGGGTTGCAATCATGGGGCAGGGTGGGAGTTATCTTCATCCGACGCGTTGCTCAAGACATTCTTCATTGGGCACGCAGAAGAGGCCACATGACCCGGATTCAGATGGCCAATAATAGCAACCCATGCTTCATGGACTTGCAGGAGGCACATCCCGAACCTCAAGGTGATCTACCGCCCCTCAGTCCCGCCACTGGTGACCATCGGCCCCTCTTTACGTTCCAGGACTTTTTGCGGAACCCCAGCCTCGGGCAGCACTACCGGAACAACGAAGGACCGCCACGACCAGGTCGCACCGCGCTTCCCTGCATCTACTCAGCTCCAACTCGCCAGCTTCCTTTGGCAGAGTCATATGCGGAAGCAGACCGAGCCCAGAATGTGATGGGGCGCTGGGCTATGCAGATCCTGGGTGATGAGCCGGCAGTTCCGCCAGATGAGGGCGCACCGCCTAAAGGCGAAGGTAAGGGTGATTCCGCCCCAAGCTCGACGTCGAGCGGCAAAGGCACAGGGAACACCTTTAAAAAGGTCACTCATTGGTACTGCAAGAGGTGCTCTTATGGTGTGCCCATCACTCGCACCTTCTGCACCATGTGTAGCCGACCCAAGGATGAGTGTGTGGTGTCCGACGAGGAAGAGGAAGAGGACGATGTGGCCCTCAACGAGGAGGAGCTCGCGGAGGTTGCCCGTCTTGAGCGAGAATGTGCAGAGCTGGAGCAAAGGATGAGAGGCCTCAACGCCGGCCAACAGAGGGCGCTCTTGGAGAATCTCGCAAACAGCTCGAGTGCGGTGATGGGAGGTCTGTTGGCGGACACCATCAGGCGCACCGCCCAGCTGCGAGGCCAGAAAGGCAAAGGGGGTTCCAGCAATGTCAAGGTGAGAGCCTCCAATGAGACCGCTCGGAACGACCCCAAGTACGTAAAAGACTTGGAGGAAGGGGTCTCCATGGCGGTGGCCTTCCAACGTCATCGCTCTCGACTACGTGCGGTGCAACATCAAGTGGCCCAAGGCAATGTGGCGCTACAGCCCCGAATGACCCCCGCACAAACTGTGAGGACGATGCCGCCCATGATGAGCCTGGGCCGCGCTCACCGCCTGTATCTCCTCAACAGGTTGGAAAGGTTGGAAAGGCAAGGAGTCACATGGACCCAAGAAGAGGTGGGGAATTGCTACACTATGGAGCAATTCCTGGACTACTTGGAGGCAAGAGTCGGTGCGGAGGCGGAAAGAGCCGAACCTACAACGGCCTCCAAATCCGCAGGCGCTCCGCCACCTACAGGCGTACCGCCTCCCTCGGGTCCTACAGCGAGCACCTCGACGGGAACCTCTTCTGCACCATCGGGTACAACCGCGGACGGGCGGCCAGAACCTCCCTCGCATCGTTCCGATCCTGCCCAAGATCAAGCAGCAGGGCGGCCAGTGGATCCAGACCAGGGGCACGATCAGCCGGAAGCTCACCCCTCAGCCCCTTCTGCGACGTCTGAAGGAGGTGAGGCTGCAGGTGATACCGCCCCAGCCGAAAGCGATTTGCCTGCTGATGATTCAGCACGGCGTTCCGCTGTGGATGGTTTCCACCTTTGAAGCTCTGTGGAGCCTTCGGGAGTAAGCCCTGTAAACAGGCGTTCCGCCGGAATGGGAGCTGAAAGCTCCGATGTACAGTGGCGGCCTGGCGTTCCGCCCTATTTCTTTTGCAAGTTGTTTGTGAGTTGAGGCAAAGCCTCGGACAGCGGATAATGTGGATGGGTCCGGAAACAGTCGGGTTTCGCGCTGCCCCCCCCTTTCTTCCCTGTCTTCTAAGGAACCGAACTCCTGCATACACTCGCTGCAAAAATTAGATAAGGCGGCAGAGGCTTTTCCAATGCCCGAAGGGAGCGAACCGCCCCGGCAAAAGGCTGGTTCGACTTTAAACGAACAACACCTTCGGCTAACCGCTCTGTTGCCCGTTGCAGCGCAAAAGAGAGTGTATGCATAGGACGGTGCCTGCTCTTTTGGTACAGCAGAGTGTGAGCATGCAGAACTTGCTCGTTAGCGATAACATAGAGTTCTGCAAGTGAATGAGCCGATGTGTCTCAAGACTTTTCGGCTCAGTTGAAGTTTGGCCCTCCCGCCCTCCCTGGTCTTCGGGCCTTGGCGGCAGAGGCTTTTCCAATGCCCGAAGGGAGCGAACCGCCCCGGCAAAAGGCTGGTTCGACTTTAAACGAACAACACCTTCGGCTAACCGCTCTGTTGCCCGTTGCAGCGCAAAAGAGAGTGTATGCATAGGACGGTGCCTGCTCTTTTGGTACAGCAGAGTGTGAGCATGCAGAACCATGAAATCTGCGTTCCAACCTGATCATTCTTGTACAGTTGCTTCTTGTAGCTTACTGTGGTTCCTACCGAGCGCAGCAGCTGCTGTCTACAAGGCCCGTCCGCCAAAAAATTGACGGAATTTTGCTACGTTCGCCGACGTCCTACAAACAAGCTGCAAATGGGTTCTCCCGCCTACTCTCAATGATGGCGTGCGACCATGAGACAGCGGCCATTCCGGTGGCGCCACATTAAGTCTGCTTTTCTCATTTTATTTTCTTCGCAAAAACCCCAAGCGATTTCGTGTGGCTTCTTCTTCTGTGTGTGTGTGTGTGTGGGGCTTGTAATTGTGTTTTGTTTCATTAAGTTTGCTTTTTTCATTTTATTTTCTTCGTAAAACCACACCATAAAACGATTTCGTGTGGCTTCTTCTTCTTCTTTTTGTTTTGTGTGTGTGTGTGTGTGTGATTGCGTGGGGGGCAAAGAGGAGCTTCCGGGAGGCTTGAAGGAGGGCTAAAGGGGGGGCTTAAGGGGGGCTTAAAGGGGGACTTAAAGGGGAGCTTAAGGGGGCGTAAAGGGGGATTAAAGGGGGCTTACAGGCGGGCTAAAGGGGGCTTGCTTTAAAGGGGCTTTAAGGGGGGTTTAAAGGCTTCGACTCTTTGCTGCCCCTCTTAGAAGGGGGCTTTAAAGAGGCTTAAAGGGGGCTGGAATCAAGTTCGCAATTGCATCCCGACTGTCAACAGTGTGGGGAGCAGAGGCAGTGATCCGTGACCCGCATGCAAGACTTTGCCGGCTAAGTTTGCAGGGTCGCAGGGGGCGAAAGTTGTCAGCGTAGTGTCCTGTGTCCGCCTTGGAACTGAAAGTAAGCGCTTGCATGTGGCGGCCCTGCTAAAGACAGGTATTCACTTTTTTCGTCATTTTTGCTTTATTGTGGCCGAGTGCAGCAACTGCTCTCTACGAGGCCCGCCTACGCCCAAAAAAAAATCGTTTCTTGCAGAGAATGGAAGAAAAGGAATCTCACAAAGAATCAATTGGTTGACTTTGGAGCATGCGCGTTTGGTGTACGCTTATGTCGGCCTCTGTATCTATTCCTATGAGGTCTCTAACATATATAAAACGTACAGAAAACGTGAAAGGAAAGTCGTCGACCTAAAAGAACGCAAAAGTGAACGTAAAAAAAACATGCAAAAACGCAAACAAATACACAAAGATAAAGACAAAAAAAAGCTACGCCACAAAAACAAACGCAAAAAAAACAGAATTAAACGTGATAAAAAGACACAAAAAACGTACGCAGCATACAAAAACGTGAAATCGAACGCCAAAAAAACTTGACAAAAAAACAAACTAAACATGAAACAAAGACAAAAAACCTACGCAGCATCAACAAACTTGTAACCAAGCGCAACAATGTGAAAGTATGTTAAACAAGACCTAGACAGCAAAATCATGTAGTAAAGTAGATCGTGGGGCGGGCCAAGGAGCCCGCTTGGCTGGGGTAGGGTGGGGTGGGGTGGGTGGGTGGGTGGGTTGCGGCTGGGCGCGCTTTGGGCACGTTTTTCCAGGAGAGATTCCGGCGTGGCTCCGGAAGGTGCGTTTCGGGCACGTTTTGTGTCACCTTTTCTGCAGCTTTTTTGAACGTTTTTTTCTAGGTTTTTCGTAGGTTTTTTCCTTTGGCTTTACGTTTTTTCTAAGTTTTTTCCAGCTTTTGTCCACGTCTATAAGGTACCAGTTTTCCAGCTTTTTTCCACGTTTTTTTTGCGTTTTCCTTAGGAAAACGCAAAAAAAACGTGAATAGGGAGGGGCCCAGAAACGTGTTTTCAAACTCGCCAAAAAGCTGGCAAAAAGCTGCAAAAAAGGAGAACAAAAGCTGAAATGAAGCTGCTGGAAAACGCACGAAAAACGTGACCGAAAAGCCAGCGTCCGGAACCCCTCGCGGAAAAAACGTGACCGAAAAGCCAGCGTCCGGAACCCCTCGCGGAAAAAACGCGCACCAATACGCACCGGGCTGGAACCGCTCCGAAATCTACGTGCATAGAATGCCATTCTTGTCCGACGGTCCTGCGTTGTATATGCGTTTCTTGTCGGGGATCTGTGTTTGCAACTGCCATTTGTCTACGTGTCCGTTTCCTGCATGCCTATGCATTGGTTGTATGTTTCTGAGTGCGTCTGCGGTGGTCCGTTGCTTGTTTCAACGTGACTTTCCTTGCGCGTTTGTTCGTGGGCTTGTTTGCATACGGTCATGTTTTTTTCTAGGTCTTTTTTTGTGTGTTTTTTTCTGGTTTCTTTGCGTGACGTCACGTTTTCTTTACGTTTTCTTTACGTTTTATGTACGTTTGTTTGTGCGTTTTTCGCGTGGGGTTACGTTTTGTGCTGTTTTTTTCTGCGTTTGTTTGCGTTGTGCGTTTGCTGTTACCTTTTCGTGCGTTTATATTTGCGTTTTTTCTACGTTTTATTGATATCCCCAAATCATAGGAGGAGATAGAAAGCGGACGACATAAGTGTACGCTCTACTGCAAGGACAGAGGCAGCTTGCTGCAAGGGAAGTGGATCGAATTGTTGGCAGGACTAGACGTGTGTCTGCGTGCCTCTATCTTGCAGAGGTCAGAAAAAGACTTTAGAGGCCCAGAAAAAGATCCAAAGGGGTCCCAAAAAAGACTCGGGGTCAGTTACGAGATGTTTCGAGGCCGAGATCAAGACGGTTTAAATCGTTGAGTGGAGGTCGAAAAAAAATGGTAGTCTTCTTCTAGACCTCGTCGCGGGGCTGAAAAAAGATGGAGGTCGGAAAAAGACATGCCGGAGTCGAAATCAAGATGGATCAAGCGAGTGGTCTGAAAAAAAACATTTCGGGGTCGAGAAAAAGCAGCTCTCAATCAATTTCAGCAATCTGAGCTGTAAGTCCAACTTCGCCACTGCGTCCGTCTTTACGAAAGTCCCGAGGTCGCTGAAAAAACAACGCCACATGGCAGAGCAAAATTGATGTCTTCGGCAGCTCTCCCACACGAGCTGGCTCGCGTTTTTTCAGGCTTATTTCACTGCTTCATTTGCCTTGTTTGTTTATGGGGTGGACCGTTGCACGGGGGGCCAGTTTCTCGCAAGTTCAGGCTCATGTCAGAAGCATTCGGTCGAACAGGCTGACACAGATTATCACGAAGCTCATTTTGTAACTTGTAAAGTAGCTATGGGATGCTGTCGGACAGCGCAGTATGGCAACACCACATCCTGCTGCGTGTAACCCCAAGAGCAACGTCAGTGGAGTGTCAGTGGGATTGTTGGACTTCAGTCCGGATGCCGTTTTTTAATATTCATAAGAAGAAGCAAGTTTAAAACATCAATCCGTGCAGCTTTGGCTGGCTTCGGCGCATGTTCCGGGTGCTTAGGCCGGTCTGAACGGCAAGCGCAATGTGGTAATCACGAGTCCAAGCTTGCAGATTGGAAGCCTTGGTTTCATGAGTGTTTGCAAAAGCATTGAATGTCAGTGTTCGATTCCGCTAGCTTGGTATGCTCGCTGTGCCAAGCGTTGAGTGCTGAGTCAGTGCTGAGTGGAAGGTGATGGCTGTGTTTTGTCCGCAGACAGCACGTTCGGCCACGGTCCTGGAACGAAAGTTAAATTTCTGTGGGGCAGCATTCAGCAGCAAAAGTTCTCCAGTCGCCGTGGGTCAACAGTTGAAGGTGCCTGCTGAAGCCAAGGCTGCTCGGGCAGCGAGCTGTTTGCGATGGCAGCGAATATCGTCAGCCTCTTTGCTGGGAGGGTTGCAGAAACATTCCAGAACGGTTAACCTTTGCATGCTTTGTCTAGAAGTGGAGTTCATGGGTCCGTTGACGCATGATATTGGGGAGACAGACCAGCAGATTGGAATGATTGGCAACACCCAGGCCTGCTGTTGTGGCTTTGCCACGCTCGACACCTTGTGTACTGATAGCCGCGGGCTTGTACGTTTTTTCAGGCACGGTTGGCTTGAAGCAGCACCTTGCCGTGACTACACAGAGAGAGGTGCTTCCAGCCAGAGCGGGCAAACTCTTCATGAAGATGGTGGTTTGAAGTTCAGAGTGCGCCCTACATCTGGATGTCGCAGCCTCTCTCCAGGACTCCACCCACCTAGCCCACCTGGCGCCCAGCAGCCACAGCTTCGGCATACCTGAGGCCACTAACCTTGGACAGCGGCGATACTTTTCCGGGGAAGGGCGCTCAGTTATGGGCGACTCGTGTAAAGCTTCCAGCATGAAGTTTCGGGAATTTTGGTTGTAACCCAATCCCAAATCCTTCAAAGAGTCGGGCGAGCCTCCAAGCTTGTTCGAAAGATCGCTAGGTGATTCAGAGCTGTGAGAGGTCGGATGACGCTGCTGCTTGCTACATCTTGCTACTGCTTCTTGCTCTGACACAGGCCTTCCAGTCAAATTCAAACTGAAGCCTGATTGCCTCCAACTGAAGGAAAGCAGCTAAAAAAAGCTTCGACTCCGCACTTTGTCGCTGTTCGCTGTGCTGACGAGACCAAGGATTCCAGCTCGTCTGCAGACGGGGCGCGAACAACGACGCGTGGACCCTGGTATGTAGCGTCTCAGATGTCGTGACATCAAGCAGTCTTCCAAGTGCTACAGACGTGTTTGTCGGACAATCGCAGCAGGAGGGTTACAAGGTTGTGATGAGGAAGCAGGCACCGGCTGCACACGTTTAAAATAGAAGCTGGACGGTATGTTTCACTTTCGCAACATACGTGGATTCAATACTTTTCGCTCATGACTCAATCCGCATTTCTTGCTTTATGAGGTGGCGGCGGAAAGCCGGCCAGCTGCAGAGGCCGTGCGAACAGCATGATGAAGTGCAGTGAAGTTGCACGATGTGCAAAGCATTTGTGAGTCTCTTGAACTTTGTCTGAAAAACCGTTGTGGACATGACGCTTCATGCCATGCTCATGCCTTTGAGCGTAACTTTCTGTCTTTGACTTGGCGACATTCTCGAGAGTTGTGCAGTTGTAACCTGCACTGACTAAATGAGGTCTCTGGAGTCTGATCCTGACAATCCTCGGCGCTGCTGGCCCGCACCGAGAGGGATTCTGCCTCGCCCGTCTGGCATCAAAGCAGAAATCTGCCTTTCTTTGCAGCTCTGAAATCCTGAGGCCTGGCAGAACTTTTGCGGGCTGTCAATCACTTCGATCCCCAGCAGGCAGAGAGGGTTGGCTTGGTAGCACTGCTTCCTCAGCGGAGTTACTGGCCTCTTCCAGCCACAGATCCTGCTCCCTCCTCCGCCTGTACTTTCACGAAGCGATTTCCTGAAGGTGATTCGGATCTTTGAGCAGCGTGAGCCTCGTGTCGCCTTTGAAAACACGGAGGCGGTCAGAGAGCCCGGGATCCCGGTTGCGTCAGAACTTCGGTGCTCTTGAGTGGCTACTGCCAAAAGCTTAGTTATCATTCTCGCTACCGATCGATTTCGCATAGTTGCACGTGTTCATTAACGCGTGGGAAAGCTGCAGTGTCGGGCCCGATTCTTGACTGTTCGGTTGAAACGAAGGCTTGAGCCAAATGCTCGTGAAAGCGCCAGAGAGCCCGAAAAGTCTAACAACCGCGCCTCGAATGACTTTGAAGACAGCTCTCTGTTCATCAGACAAACTCGCAGATCACAAGTTAGTTCTCAACTCTCAGATCTTGAGCTCAAAAGTTGTCGTCATCTCCGATCGGTTCGGTAAAAGAATAGAACAAAAACATCGGAGGATGTCCCAGGCTGTTGAGCCCGGCTAGTGCTGTTAATACCAGAGGTACATCCGGGCTCTAGTGCTGGCAAATCGCTTGGACTATGTGGACCTGGATGTTGTATTTGGTCGGCATTGGCGTGAGGCCAGTGCTGGAGCTCCAGTTGCTTTGCTCTGGTTGTTCTGGTAAGCTGGTTGGCGGCTATGCAGACTCTGGCGAATTGTGCTAGTGTATGCTTCTTGCAAGCGGGCTGGTTTCATGTTGCATACTGCTTCTGACCGAATCCTGCCCCGCCTGCCGCCAGCTTCGCTTTCTCGAGATAGTCGTCACCATGAGCATGAGACCGCGTCAACCCCGTTATCAGAAATACCAGCCCGAAAGCATCCACATCCCGAATCCACGCAGCTCAGCTCCGACCTTGCTCCCAGCACGACATGTAGCCTGACCCACAACAGACTTTCCGACAGTAAGCTGTCACTGAGCCTCCAAGACGGTGCCCTGCACGCTTCCGGGACCGAGCTTGGCTGCACCTTGGGCTCGGTCCTCGAACGAGGCATTCCATCGTCAAAAGGGTGACTAGGAGTCTATGCGCTTGCGACAATATGTGGGGATCTTCCGGGTGAGTCAAGAGACTCTGGCGACCTGTGTGAGCTTTCGCGTTCGCCCTGCAGGCCAAAGCCTGTGCCGCATGTTGTGCACGGACTTCTCGAGCCATGCGTCAAGCTCAGATGCAGACAGGCTTTCGTGCGCTTGATGGCGCACGTTTCTGGGGGTTGATTGCAAAGTAACCTTGCTGGCATCGAAGGCATACAACCCCCCTTGGTCAAAGTGATAGCGGGCATAAGCGCTGAGCCGTTTTACAGGGTTCCCAAATCAGGTTTAGCTTCAGCCAGTCGCACATCTTCCAGGTGCCATTTCATTCCGTGAAGGTTTCGGTTCCTGCCCGAGGCGCCGCAAAGACGAGCGCTCGCGATCCCCGCTGAGACAGTGTGTGCTCAGCCCCGAGGAGCAGGAGGCAGGCCCCAAATCCACACCTTTCAACTTCAGCCGTTGCGGTCGACAGGCTCAAGAAGCGAATTGATGGTTCTGGAAAGCCTCTGCAGACCTGACGGCAAGTGACTCTCGGAATTTGCAGGCCTTTCTTGTACAGTTCGCGCAGCACTACTGGCTTCCACCAGATAGTCCCTTGCTCAGATGATGGATCGGGAGTCGTGCAGCCAGGGCGAGGAAATTCCAAGTCTAAAGTCATCGAATGGTAATGTTTGAAGGACTGACACAGCCTTATCAAGGCCTCTACATCCAGACGTTGAAGACTCTGTACTGCAATCCCATTCAACAGTGCACACAAAGACTCAGACTCCTGCCACTCCTGCCCGCCTGCCGGAGGTGGTTTGGCGCCCTGGCAGGGCACCCGTGCCGAGCGCGTGCAGCGCTACCGAGCCCAGCTCCTATCCGAGGACCGTCATGGAGACCCACAGCCACAGGGTTTGCAAGGTTTCCGTATTACACGCGTCTGAGCAGAAGTAGAATATCTGTAAATAAATATATACACACACAGAAACACATACATACGTATAAGTAAAACGGATAGATCAAGAAATAGACAAAACACATATGGTCACGCGCTCTGCGCCCCCCTCCCCTCATGGTCCAGGATGTCCCCCGTGTGGGGTGAAATGTGGGGTCCTTCTTCTTTTTGTGGGGTGGTTGTGGGGTTTTTGGATTTAGGGTTTAGCTTGAGCTTTCGAGTTTTTGGTTGAGGGTACAAAATTTCGAATCGACAAGGGCTCACGGAGGATTCGGGGTGTAGGTTGGGTAGGGTTGACGGTTTATGTTTCGGCTTTTGGCTTAGAGCCTGCATTTAGACGGGCCTGAGGGTTGGGTGTAGGGTTAAAGTACAGGGTCGTTTTTCAAAATCAGGAGCACGCATTGCGTTATAGGGTTTATAGCTTGCGTAGGAGGCCCGAGCACAGCAGTGAGCCCATTCCGTAGCACTCGCTCCGCAATGATACCTGCTGGCAGTTATTGAGCTGGCTTATTTGCTCTGAGATTTCAGCCTATGATCGTGTGCTGCTGTTACGATACTTTCCTAGGTTACATCCCTGCTGCTACATTTTCTCACTGATGCTCCGCTGAAGCCGGCTATGGCTGCAATTCAATGGCACGGAGCTTGCGCATTCGAAACCAGCTTGCGTAGGGCTTGCGTTTGACCCCTGGCCGCGCCCTGGCAGCACCCCACCCTCCAGCTGCAGCTCCAACGGCCCCGACCCTTCCCACCCTCACCCCTACCAGACATACCTTTGGGGGGGTGGCCGGGAACGCTAGACGCCTATAACCATATACAGTTAATTATATGTACAGTATCACGAACAGATGTATGTTTACTGCATAGTGTGCACACACATACCCCGGAAGTATGCGCACAGGTACATGCAGACAGCGTCATGCCGCATGAAGCTTCTCACATGCAAACCGTGCTTACCGCAGCAGCCGGGAGGTCGAGGAGCTCGTGGCAGAAGCTGCCGATGCCGACCCGGGTGTGGTTCCCGGTGTGAAAAGTGCAGAGCAGTGCAGAGCAGACTGGAACATTGCTGTCCTCGGTTCCTTTCTAACCTGATGTCTTCTGCACTGTTCTCTGCGCCCGCGTGCCAGCCGACTTCGGGCCGCTCCTGGACTGTGTGGCGCTTCGCCGCAGCAAGGAGTCGGTGTTGCGCTGGCCGGGAGCCCTTGTGATGGTGCTCAAAAGTCTGCTGTGAGTTGTGTTTTGAAAAGGGTCTCAAAATGAATCTTCCGTAAGCCAAAAGGGGGGTTTGCGGTCAAAGTCAACCCAGATTGGCAGGCAGCGATTCGTCTTCCTTGACGACGTTGCTCGCATGAGCGCAGTGCTTATTCCACACAACCTCTTCAGCAGCCCTGCCTGTCTGTCGCCGCTACTGTAGCGGGGATTGACGGAGGTTGTCTTGCCAACATCAGCAGCTTGCAAACTGCCATATCAAGTCCGTGGGACGGACATCCTCGCAGTATAAGTTGAGCTCATCAGGTGATGTTCTATTCCGCGGCCCCATCGAGCCAAAACACGCTGACGAGGCGGCTGAAGGTTGTTAAGGATCCTCAACAATACTTACGCAATCACCACGGGTTGGCAACCGTTTTTCATTAGATGGATACGAGCAGATGCTACATGTGTGTGCACACACGTTCCCACTGATACAGAACGTGTTTCGGCTCAGACAACTGCTGCCAACTTTCTTTGATCATCTAGCCAGCAGTCTTTAGTTCTCCTGCTATGCCTGCGCGCTCGCATTTGCCCATTCTGGCTCTGCTTGCCGGAAGCTTAGGCAAGTGAATGCTATTCCGACAAACGGATACCATTTGCAGTGCCTGCGGTTCCGAGTCGTGGTTCGAGTTTAAGCTTTTGCAGGTGCACAGTTTCAGTTCCCAGCCACAGTCAGTCAGTTCAGATCTACCTTCAGTTGTGCTGACTTACGTGCGTCTGCGCCGTTGGAACTGTGAATCGAGCAAAGGTCTCGGCCTTGACGTCTCCTTGCTGGGACCGGCGGCTGTGGCTGTGGTGCCTTCACACTGGTCCTTCGAGGCCCTCGCATCGAGCTGGCCTTGCAAGTCAAAGATCGCAGATATCGCGAGCTGCCTGGGCTCCTGTGGTGTCCGTCTCCGACGAGGGACAGTCGGGCTTCCGCTTGCTGGAGTTTCTAATTCGAGGTGGGCACAGGCAGAAGGCACTGCTCGTGTTTCGTGCTGGTCCAGGACCACGATCCCATGTCCACAACTGTGTGGTGAAAGACGAGGCGGAGGACCTTCTCGGGAAGGGGCCGCTCTCAGGAAAGCTTCAAAACAACATTTAGCTGCTGAGCTGGTGGGTATCAACTTCCTGTCGAGAACAGAACACCAGTTCGTGCTTCAGCTTGACGTGCCGCTGTCTTGCAATTGCCATTCCACCGGTTGTTGGCGCAGGATTATATCGTCCTGGGAAATGCATTTGATGAGGAACTTCTGCTAAAGTCGGCACCTCGGCATCTCAGCCAATCTGGTGCAGAGATTTCGAATCCTGGAAACATGCTGGACCTGTTGCTGTAGGCTGCAGGGCGAGCTGAACGAGAAGGACCTGGAGGAGTGCCCACGACAAGACCCTGTTTTGCATTGCCCCATATGCAAGGCCCTTTCCAAAGCCTCGCAGTTCTGCTGGCAGGAGCTCGTGGCACACTATCGCGAGGAGGATTCCGAGGTCGGGGACAAGCCTTGCCTCGTGATATGTCAAATCTAGTTGTAACGGGACATAGACGACGTAGACGAGGATCAACAAATCTCCACTGATCGATCGACATTGGGTGCCTTTCTAGATGCCTCGCTCCCAGTACCAATCATATCGGCGCTCAGCCCGTGAGATGCTTCAGAATCCTTCAACCCCAGCACTTAAACTGTCTCAAGTGTGACTCGAGGTCCGGCAGACGCCCTGGCTGGAGGAGCCATGCCGCTAGAGGGAAAAGGTGTGTACAGCAGCGTGGAGCCAGGACCACCTGCTGGGCCTCTTCGAGGCTGTCAGCGACCGCTGGCAGCTCCCGGAGCTTGTCAGCCGGCTTGGAAGAAGCGGCGGCTTTTCGTTTTAACAGGTTCAACTTCCTGGGCCCAAGGCATCCCAAGGCTCAAAGTGCTTTGTGGAGCAATTCAGAGTTTGGCAGAGCTCAGGACATCTTGGAGGACGCCCAGTATTGTGTCTATGGCCCCGGCGATCACTTCGTGCCAGTCTGAGCCGAGACGGGCATGTTGACTTGACGCTGAACCTGTGATTCGTGCCAGAAGCCAGCTGGCTGATAAGGACTGGCACCAAGACCAGCCAGACGTGGCGCCGCCACCTGTCCGGCGCCTCTCCCTAGCAGCTCAGTTGAATCATGTGAGTGCAAATAAATTGATAAATAGATGCAGCTGGATACCTCTGTGTATACATATATCAAAGACCTGATGTGCATAAAGCAAAAAATCAATGATACTGTTCCTGTATATGTACATTTACGTGCATGCATGCTGCGTATGTACACACGCGAACGTATATCTAGAGCATATGTATATCTATAATATGTGGACAGGCTGACGAGGATTTGTATTGTTCATATACGTGTTGGATGCATGTATATTCAGTACAGGTGTCTGTATGTGTTTGTGCATGTCCATGTATGATATGTACACGTGTATGCATGAGTTTATGTGTATGTATATGTACAGGTGTATGTATGTGTACAGGTATATGCACATGTACCCGTATATATGTACGAAAATAGATGACACAGCCCACTACGGCTGTCTGGAATCCATGGACGTACTGGCAGTGGGGTGGAGTAGGAAGGGTGCGAGGTAGCGAGGGGGCTTGGGTGGGGTGGGTGCGGATCTCACGGGGAAGCTAGCTGCTTTTCTGCCCTGCCTCGCCCTTGAAGCCTTGAGGGCCTGGCCTGCCCTGCCCTGTACTACCCTGCCCTGCACTGTGCTACTCCAACCCGGCGTCGTTGGGACGCTCCTGGAATGTCCGAAGCCGATGGAACTGCAAAGATAAAACCAGAAACAAACCTCGACAGAGGTGACTATCTGCTATCCCAATCTCTGTCTCAAAGAAAAGGTCTTGATGCTGTCAGCACCTGGTGACTTTTCAGGAGGTGCCCTGGAGTTTTTGGAAGACAGCAGTAAGAGACATGGGAACCGCTTCGTGCAGCTTCCAGCGGGCAGGTGACCTGGAGCTCAACACAACAGGTATCGTGCGGCCAAAGCGCCTGTGCTGCAGTTGTTTTCATTTGGTGTGAGCTGCAAGATTGTCCGGGCGCATCCCCATCAAGATGCCAGATGGAATCTTTCCTTTGGGTTTTGCAGGCTCCTCGCGGGGGATGCCATCATTTTTCCTTCGGAGACTGTGGAGCATCGAGCCACTAAGACTTGAAGTAGTCTCGGAGATCGAAGCAGGGAACACTCGCTTTTCTGCCTGTTCTGCTTTGCTCCAAGCCGAGGTTGCCCCCGTCGAAGCTGGAATGCGGCAGACTCTGGTCTGCTGGGCTTATGCGGCGTAGCTCCCGTCCATGGAGCTTTGGTGAGTACGGGCACTGCATGCTTCTACCTTCGAATGCTGCTGCGAACGGCTTGGTGTGTTGAAGACGAGTTGCTAAGCATGCTTGGACGATTGACGGAGCGCTGACGAAACTGACGTGTGCGAACTACAAGGGCCTGCTACAAGGGTCTGCGAAGAGAACGAAGATCAAAGACGTCCTTCATTGCCAATCTCCCAAGCAACTGACACCTCTTGTGGCCACCTGGCAACCAGCACGTGCCATCACTGGTCACGACCTGGTGTTGATCTGCTTGTGGGTCGTGCGATGCAGAAGTTGAAAGGTCCATCCGTATTTGTTGCTCTGTGAACGTTGCGGGCGAGGGTGGTGTGTCCTGTGGTGCCAGCCTGCGGGAGTGGTTTCCCAGGCGGGAGTCGGGCGCAGCTCGGCCCGCCACCGGTGTTTCCGGAAGATCCGCCAGGCCCGACACCCCGGCTCTCCTCAGGCTCGTCGCACGCGATGACGCCCCGGCAAACTCAGCTGGCCCCCTACCTGATGGCATTTGCAATCTACTGCTCTGGGGCAGTTCCGGTCGGCTGCGTACCAAAAGGATCCTTGCAACATTCGGTGTGACCTCACTGCTAGACCCATTGCAAGTCACACATGCGATCTGTCAGATGGATGCACGCCTTCACGATGCATGGCGTCGCCTTCGGACGATGTGGCCCCGCCATGTGGTATATTGATGTTAAATCGTCATGAAATGCAGAATCAAGTCGTGGAGCTAATTGATACACTGATGGTGATGTGACCTCATGCCAGGATCCCAGATCTGGCGGAGTTCGACGCTTTGACTGCGGAGTTCAGGGTCTCTGCCGTGAAGGCCCAGCACATACCGGATCGAGTCAGGGATTGGCAGGTTCTCCTGAGATTTTTCTGGCGACTGCCAGGTTGCCATGATGCTGGAGACGGGGAGGCCCCGCCATCTTCCGCCCAGCGCGTCCGTCAACACAGAGCATCCTCAGGGCCGTAGTCGAACAGATGTTGGGTACTCTGGGTATCATTTTCAGGTGTCGAGGGTTTTCTGCTTTGGACATGTCACTCCGAGATGGACATCGACCAGACTGTGAAGGCAAGGACGATACCAAAATGAAAAGAACAAGCAGGGAGAAAGGACTTTGAGAAACAGCACTGATTACTGTTTGTCATGTGGACTGCCGGGCGATAATCACAGACCTTTCCTGCAGCTGAGATGAGGGATAGGTGATTATTGATGTGGGCCGTGGATCTGTAGCGATGCACCTAGTGATCCCGCCGTCCAGTGCTTGCATGGTTAGCAGTTTGGTTTTGGGTTTGTTTACGACAGGGCTTACAATTTGCATTTGTTCGGAGTGGGATGTGTAGCGGGTGGGTTTGAGTCTCAGGTTTTACAGTTCAAGGTAGCACTTGTTCACTTGTTCATGAAGTTTATCTTCCACCTGCAGAGGTTACAGACATGAGTTGAAAGTTTCCGAAAGACTCGAGAAGTACTTTGGATTCCAGATGTGATAGGGCAATAGGAATGCAATGTTTCATCCATTGGCCCATATTACATGGTAGGTTTTGGTAGCAATTTGTGGAATTTGTAAATAGAAGCATCAGTTCACACTTCCACCTTTGGTCAGAAGTTCAGGGGTCCCGGTTCAGGATTTCCCGACAACAATCAATATTCGTAGTCGCAAAATTGGATATGTTCGGCAACTGGTCGACATTTGAACCGCCAGAGCCGCTAGAGGTTCGGGCGTGGCAAGGGGAGCCGTCATGGTCTTTGGTTTGCTCCGGTTCCGGTCCCTTCCTGCAGGCCGTCAGAGGCGGCAACCTTCGATGTCGACTTTCGGCTGCCCGACGCCAGGCCGGCACTGACTGGCGAATCTCAAAGCGATCTTCCGTGCAGAAAAGCAACACGCGACATGCGCAGTGCACAGTGTATTTGCCTCGCGGCGGGGCTTCTTTTGGGTGCTTTGGGGTCGTTGTCAGCTCCAGGACCTTGTCCTGCCTGCTCTCCTTGCGCTGTGACAAGGATGATGCGGAGGCCGAAGTGAAACGGCTCCAGGGAGCCTCAGCCCCAGCCCGGGCTGTTTTGCCGTGCGTCCGTGAGGAGCTGATAGAGCTCTACCGCCTGCTTTGCCAAAAGCTCCAGGCACGGAAGCGTAGAGCCTGGCTTGGTCGTGTCCCGTGCGGGAAAGTTAAGTCACAAAGGACCATCATATCATTCGTTTTCGGAGACATAGAAGTTACCGTCTAGTCTAGTGTTCAACCCGGACAAACCGCCTGCCATGATTGAAGCAATTGATCAAGCCTGAAGTTTCCGCATTCTGAACTGGCACGACCTTGCCATTCTCGATTCCAAGCTCGGCTCTCTTCTCCCTTCTTCAGGGGCTAACGTGCGCTCACTGCCACGAACCTTTCGACGAAAGCCGCACCCCAAGTTTCATCTTGACCAGTACATGCCCGTCTTGGCTCACCCCGGTTCTTCGGCTGTGTGATGGCAGAGAAGCTGTTGTCGGTGATTTCATGAAGGGCAGCATGCAGGCTAGCAGCGGGTGGCATACTTCGGAGTCGGTCGGGAGTTTGGCTCGAGAACCACATAGTGCAAGATGAGACTGAACGGTTCCCAGCACGTCCTATGCTTCGGTTTTCATTTGCATGAGTGTCTCTGTGTTGCGGAATTCCAGGTGCGGGCATTGGCATGTTTCAACAAAGGCAACCAGGCCAACACCTTGCCCCGCGCACGACAAGTACAAATACCCTTCTAATAGAAGCGCTAGTAGCTGCCACATTCTGAGCACCATGCCCTGAGTGACTGCTTGGTGCTGGCGGTGCAAGGCAGGAAGAAAGATATCTGTTTGCGGGCAGATGACAAGAACCAGAATCAGCCGAGCTGAGTCGAAGCCTGCATTTGCAGATTGTTTGGCCAGCGCTCGGTGTGTGGGTCTTCGGGTTGTTGGGCCGAGATGGCAGGCCACAGGCCCCTTCGTGATGCCAAAGGCGAAGGCGAAGGCGGCGTCTGGAAAGAAGCAGCCTCAGAGGTCGGGCTCCAGTGCAACTCTTTCAATCCGAGCGGCTCAGGACGTTGCCTTCGGAGATCAAATGGCTGGCGAAGCAGCAGGAGGCCGATACTCATAGCTGAGAGAAGAGATCGGCATTGCGGCGGCGCCAAGCTGTCCAAGCCAGGCGCTCCAAGGCCAGGCGGCAGCTGCGGGCGCCGAGCCCTGGCTCCGCGACGCGCACGCCTGGCACGAGGAACGCGCGAGCTTGAGTTGTCTCCTTCAGACCAAGCCAGACAAGAAGAAAAGCAGGTCAATGTCTCCGAAAGTCAAACTTGTGGCCTGAGATGTGAATTTGGTGACGTACAGAAGGCTGAACAAAACCAAGGAAACACAGAGGAAAAGCGACAAGACATAATGAAGTTCACGGTCCCTGGCAGCCATCATTGGCAGTAACAGTACATGTGCTCGAAGTCTGAGGTGAGCTTCGATCCATATGCTATTCGGACTCTAAGGGTTTTATGTGTGGAGTACTGCTTCGGATTGAATTGAAGAAGAGGGCCACAGGATCTCCCGAGCATGTCCCGAAACCCGAAAGCCATGATGTCTGCCCCTACAGTTTTCATAAATTTCATGGATGCTGTGCTCACTTACTGGTGGGCTGGTGGGGGCCTCACCAGGAGCGGCTGCGTGAGGTGGAGGATCGCTTCCGGCGCTGCGGCGGCAAAGCTACGGTTTGCGGGGTGTTCTGTGTTACACGTTTCGTAGGGCGTAGCTTGGGCCGGTCGATGCTGGGGCAGCCAAGAACCGACTGAGGTCTGGTGCCATAACGAGCCTTCCGGAAGACTTTCGTGATGGCGCGCCTGGGACGAAAACGCTGGGATTGAAGTCGGGAAGGCTGTATGGGCGAAGGCGTATCCAGGTTCCACATATCGCCAGAGCAACGAAGTAGACCACCGAGATCCTCAAAGGGTGAGCCCGGGACCACCACCTTGATTTCATCGGAGCTTTGGATGCAGATTGACTTCCCTACCACAGGTGGATTTCTACGTCTCCCAGCTCGCCGACGGTCAAAGTGTTAGCCAGGATCTTTTTTTGGGCAGCACGACGTGAAGTTTCCGGCGACTGCATAATTCTTGAATCTCCGCATCACATTGAGAGTCGCAAGGTCGAATAAGGTAGATGCTCAGTATGTGATCCGCATCGGCCAGGACACGTTTTACGACGACCGCGAGCTGTATGGCCCAGTGCTTTCGGAGGTGAAGGGGGAAGCCGAAGAGGTGAGAACCGGCAACTACAGTTGACAGTGCGTTGCAAGATGTCACGAGCAAGGTTTTGCGTTTAGTTCTGGTTATCGGAAGCAACCCAAAAGTTTTGGTTCCGGACATCGTGTGTCGTGCCTGGGATGACATGCTCCAACCCGTCTTCGAGCCTTGAGACAGTGAATATCGCTGCTGCTTCCGCTGCTGCTGCGGCTGCTACCGGTGCGGGTACACTGCTACTACCGCTACTGCTACTGATACTACGCCTGCTACCATACTCCGTTGCTTCTCATCTCTTTACTGGGTCATGCAGGATTTATATCATCAACCGTAGAGCTAGTACCCTAATCCTTGTCAGTAGTGGTGCTGGCAGCCCTGCCAGACGGTGGCCTATGAGCGGGCCGTCGACTCCGAGGAGGCCCCATGCAAGGGGCAAAGCGGCGGTCCATTTGGGCGATTTCGCATAAGATGAAGGAAAACAGCAAAAACCAAGCAAAACTACCAAAGCAGCAACAAGTTAGTAAGTTAGTGCTCGTAAAAGTCTCAGTTTGCTGCGGCAGCAGCTGCAGCAACAATTGGAATAGGACGCGGTGGACCTGGAGCCACAGATATGTTGTTGCTTATGTGCAAATTGTAGAGCAGATTCGGATCAGGGACCCGGCGTGAACCTGCCTGCCTCAACCTGGAACCTGGTACAAGAACATTTGAATTGATTGTTTTTTGAAGCTGTACTTCTGCCTGGCAGGCCGTCGTCGTCTTGGAGAAGGTGAAAGCATGGTCAGAGACAAGCCAGGCACTTGGAAGCTCCTTCACTTGAGGAATGTTCTCGGATTCGCGCATTCTTGCCCCTTTTGTGTTGCGGGGATTGTCGGAGGTCGAGTTTGGAACATGCCGAAGAAGCGTGAGCAAGTGGGATGTCAACATCTCTCTCTGGCAGCAGCGTTACTGAGTGCAGGTCCATATGGCATGTCCAACTTTGCCAAGTTGCTGAAGGCCGGTAACTCCTATTCTATTGAAGCACGGTCATGAAGGTCTTCCTGCATTCGGAAGGCCCAGGCGGTTTCCGCAAGTGTGCAGGAGGCGGGGCTAACCCGGCGACTGGGCCGGAAAATGGTGTTTGAACTTGCCGGGTTCTGAGTTTTATTTCTTGTTTGTCTTGGCCTAACCTCACACGACGGCCGAAGGACGAATCAGCCGAAATCCCTGTTCGGCACTCCAGACTCCTGCGTGGGGTTCATTCCCTCCACCTTTCTCTTTCTTTCGTGTAAGGGCGGACAAAGGACCGGCCGCTGCCCCCGGTTTTCCCAGACCGCTCTGACAGCTCCGAGGATCGGCGGCCTCCTCGCTTCCGCGGCTACCGCGGGGGCTCCCGCGGCTCCTGGCGCTGGCTTGGCGCCCGCGACGTTGCTCCCAGCTCCTCGGAACTGTCTGCCGTGCTTTGCGAGCCTTTCGGATCGATACGAGAAGCTGCAAGCTGTGAACCCAGTGAACCCCAAAGACCGAGCCCGCCCACGCTTGCGCCCAGATCATCTTTGCAGCGATGGCGCGCTTCGAGCAGGATCCACAGGAGCCCAGAGTTCTTGAGAATCGGTCAAAAGAGGGGTGAGTGGTATGGAAGCGCGCCCAAATCTGCGAGTGTCCGGTGGGTACTGTATCAGTTTGTGGTGATCTCTCATCAGAGGTGCTCACACGAAGCACGAGCGGACTTGCTCAAGAGGTTTTGCGCTTCGGACAGGTAGAGCGCCAGGGCTGCAGTGCGCTGCGCGCCGTGGCGCTGCAAAGTCCGGCCGCGGTGCTCGATGTAGCTCTGCAAAGTTAAGGGCCAACGATGCCTAGAGTGAGAGAGGCTTCTCCACCTTGGGATCGGTGGAGGTAGCAAACGAGACACATCCTTCTGATAAGCAAGAATTGCCCGGCAAACCCAGCCGCACTGACAAAGTCAAGCTTCCATCTGTTCAGCAGGGATCTCCAGAACGACAGAAGATGCAACGTGTCCGAATGTTAGAATCATCCCCCAAGTTGGTGGCTAGGTGCCCAGACATCTGCTGGAGGTCAGGCGTTGGCATGTCACCCCCTGTCTCGGTGCCCTCAGGCAGGAGGTGCCAAGAAGATGGCTGAAGTGATGAAGCGGCACATCAGGCTTGGGGAGTATAGCTGTGTGTTCGGCCATCAATATTCCTGTCTGTTCAATGATGTAGGCTCATGGACGTTGTGAAGAGCAGTCTTGCAAGTTTGGATCCTTGTCGTCCTGCGAGGGACGCGGATGTCTGCCGCACGGCAGCTGTGAGCTTTGCAGCCATTGTGGCTTGATTGCAATGTGTTCAAGATTCGCGAGCAACCGGTGTTTGGAACTGAGAGCACGCACAGTCGCCAGTGATGAAGAAGATAATCAATCGTTCGGTTTACAGGGCTCCGCGATGCAGGTCGCCACGGCAATGTGCGACTCACAATTAAGAGCTTTGAGCGCTCTCCTCTGGACCTCCTGACCCGCATTTCCTACGAGTCTGACAGCAGAGATTCCTTTGGAGACGAGAAAGTGTGGCAGCCACAGCTGTAGAGCTGAATAAAACTGTGAGCTTGGTTTCACCAAGAAGAGGCCTCGGCAGAAGAATTGCAATCCTGACCTCTGCAGCAGCAAGACCTGTCATCGCACCAGGATCGCGCATTGCAGAAGTATCAGGAATTCACATTACACCAGAACTGGACATCGCACCGAGATTTCGCATCGCACCATCCGACATCGCACCGGGACTTCATATCGCATCAGGCTGTCACGTGCATGTCATGCGACAATTGACGTGGCAGCGAGGATCTCTCATGACAAAGGATTTCCCACGTCGCACCATGTCGCACCAGCGTTCACATCGCTCCATGGTTTCGTATCGCACCAGGATTGCACATCGCACCTGAGATTTCGTATGGCACCAGACTTGCACATCGGCAAAGATTTCGCATCGCACCAGTTCTTGCGCACCAGCAGAGTTGCACATGGCACCACAGTTTCTCATTGGGTTTGCACTGGAAACGCAGCTCGCTGAAGTCATGAGCTTGTGCCTTCCTGATCCATGCCAGCGCGTGGACGACGCCGTCAAGGCTGTCTTGAGGACCACGCAAAAAATCCACCATGGTTGGCAAAAACAAGCTGTAGGTCGCTTAGTAGCAGCTTCTCCAGGCAGAGCTTTCCCAGCACCAGCTCCACCTGGCGAGAGCGGGCGCGGGAACGCCGTACGGACTTTCATAAGATTCTCAACTCGCAAGCTCATGGACGGCTCGGCATCGGGAAGGACAGGCTTGCGCCGCAGATACCAAGATGACCCGAAGCATCCGGTTCTATGCAAGGAGATATTCGTTCAGTGCACAGTACACTTTGCACAGCCGTTCTCGGTTGAAGACGCGACGCTCTTCCAGTGCATGCCTGCTTGTAGAGCACATCTCGGCTGAAGATGCTGAAGTCACACAAACAAGCCAATGCAAGCCAGGTCAGTTGATGCCTCATAATTGCCCCGGTCACCAGACATTTCACCATGGCTCACCTGACCATGTGTGCCTGTTTCTGGAGTGTGGTGGGCCCGCTAAGGTCAACAAGTGTCAGAAGCTTGGCTGGGACTTATAGAAGGTTCAAAACCAACATCGAGCCTGGGCCTGTTGCTCAGGAACAGTCCCGTGGAGATGTCGCAGCTTCGAAACTCCGGCATGGCGCCGCTGTTGGTGGAGATCTTGTCGTACCACTCCAACGACCTGCAGCTTCCCGGAAGCAAGAGGGCTAGAATTTCGAGACATCATGGCTGATGCAAAGCTGGGAGCAGTGGGAGGCGAGCTCAGATTGCAAGCGTCTCGGCAATTGAGGTTGGATAAGGTGGCGCGACAAACCCTGCCTTTCCTGAAGGGCTGAGGCTGATGGGTGCTGACGTCTTCGGCAGGACAAGGACGAAGCGAGGTGGCAGGAGAGCCACCGTGTTGGAAGAGTAGGACCAGGAAGCCAGAGCGAGCAGGCATCAGAAGCTCTGGAAGAGCATCAGCATCTTGACAGCTGCCGCTGCCTGTGTTCGTTTCCAAGACCGTGCAGGAAAAAATGAGCCGCTCGCGTAGAAAAGTCGCTGTTGAACTGTGCCAGTCTTGCTACTACCTGCTGCAGCTCAGACTTAGGATGAAAGTGGCGAGTCACGACATTCCCGAGGCACGTCGGCGGGTTTTTTCAACGGGGAGTCCCTTGTCGTTCCCGTGACGGTACCCGGCTCGGCGACTGGGGAGTGCATTTTGGGCTTTAAGAGCCTCTCCTCTCCGAGTCTCCTCTCGTCTGAGGTACCGAAGGTCTTCGTCCCTCAGTGTGGGCATGCCATCCACACGCTCTGCCTCGGCCCGGGACCTGGCACAGAGCATGGCCGCATATCGTGCTTGGCCTGACAACGTGACAGGCTCTCAGATCCTCCCGGAGGATGGGGGTGCTCGAGGGGATTGCTGCAGCCTCGGAGCTGTTTCGGAGACATCCTTCACCTTAGGAAAAAAGCCATCTGCGGTGGTCAGTCTTGATCAGGTTGCATCTTTGTGGAAGTGTGATGTCATGTGATGTCTTGCTGCTAGCCAGACCGCTTAAGGCCGAAGATGCGGCATGCCTTATGCTTGGTCGGGTATTGACGCAAGCGCCTCAGCGTCTGCAATGTGAACAGTCTGAGACTCAAAGCCTCGAGTTTCACCACCACGTTTTCAGCTTCTCTCTCTCCGAGGTCGTGCCTAGGGCCTATAGAGCATGGACCCGAGTCCACGTAGGTTTTGGGGGCCGGGGCTCACGGCTGAGGTTGACCCGATTGTTAATGCCTTCTGCCGGGACCTTGGAGCTCAAGCACAACTCGGTGTAAGTTTTTGGCTTGGCAGCACATCGATTCATCAGGCCTGATGTTCGGCCCGTATGTGGACCAGAGATCACAGGCAGGTTTCCAAGCACGAGCAGTCGAACAGTTGAAGCTGAGACTTGCGCCCTTGGTGCAGGACATGGCAGATGACGGCAAGTTATCTGCCGACGCGATCACCAAAATCTCGGAGGCACACCAAGCAGTTCTGAAAAATAAATTGCATAGATGCTTCAGTGCACTCTGTTGACCGACAGTGGCACCTGGAGAGCTGAACATGCTGTGCCAGAAGACGAGGTCTGCGTCAACTTCTCGCTGGAACTCGGCGGGTGCGGACTCCAGAGTTTCCCTGCCGGGCTAATGCGAAATCTAGAGCGGCAACAGAAGATCACGACCTCGGATCAAGAGAGGTGTCACAAGCCTCGACCCTTCAGCAGACGTTTTAGTTCTCGGTTGTCTGATTTAGCCTGCGATGGTCGACCGTCCGTCACTCGGTGATGGTCTTGTGATTCCATGAGCTTCGCACACCATCCACAAGAGCACTCCAAATCACGTTCGTCAACCAAGTCGTTTTGCGTGATCCTGTGTGGTTCTGCAGACTGTCTTGGCAGTGGTTGCGCTATTTTACCCGCCTGCTCTTTTTAATTTTGCTGGCTGGAGCGAGAAGAGAACGGTGGGTCCGGCAAGTCCGGGCAAGGGCAAAGTCGAAAGCATGCGAAAGACTGACGATTTTGCATAACATGCATAGCTCAGCTTACTCGGAGATCTCTAATCGCAAGCCGTGATCTGCCGCACAAACACGTTGTGTTTGCTTCCTTTCATCCCTAGACTTGAGACTTGTCCATCCATTGCAAAGATTGTGTAGGTCAGGCAGCCATATTAAGGGTCTGCAGAGAGAACAGAACGAGTTGAAGTTCTCACATCGTAGAGGCTGGTCAGCGCCACAAATGCCTGGCTCCTGCTCTGCCGACGCCACACATTTGCCGAGCCGGAGATCGCCGGAGCCTGAAAGTCTCGAAAGTCTCTCCCCGAGTGCGGCACGAATTCTGAGTATACCGCCCATCCAGTCATCCAGTGGCCAGGTGAAGATCGTTGGTGAGGCCGGCTGCCTTTCAGCCTGGTGAGCAGTGTGCAACGAGGATGATGGTCCCTGACTCTGACTGTTTCACCCTCCCTCTCTCGTCGCAGGAAGTGCTGAGGCTCGCCGGGACGGATCAGGTTGACGATCACTAAGACTGCGGGCCAGGAGGGGTCAAGGTCAGGCGCCGAACTGGAGGGCTTGTCAGGCCAGTTTGCTGAAGCTCTGGCTTTCACACCCCTATTCCTGCAGAGGCCCAGGCCCCGAACTCCAACCTCGGACCGCTGGCCAGGCTCCTCACGCTGCCCGAGGACGCCCGCGGTGCACAGCTAGAGGCCAAAGAATTCGAGTTGCGAAGGGTCCCAAACTTAGCTGCCCACTCCATTGCCCCAGCAACCCGGAAAGCCGTAAGACCAAAAACGGTTCCAAATGCCAGCTGCCCGCGCTGGTGCCCGCGCTGCCGCCACGCTCTCGGACTGTCAAGAAGTGAAGCACCGATGCTCGCATTCTCTACATGTCATCCTCGGGTGGAGTGGGCTTTAACTGCAAAGCAAAGTCCGCAGATACAGATGCACTCCTTTTCAAACTCGAAACCCTCTAAACCCATCCATGGCTCTTCGACCCTAAGCCCTAGAAGAAGCCGCAGCGCCAGAGCTCGGCCGAGGAGCGACGGGGACCAGGCCCAAGCTGCCGCTCGAGACCTCCCGACGGGGCCCTTGGAGCCGCGCCTCGGCTTTGTTTGGGAGACTCTTAGTTGGGAGCAGACGCACAGCAGCAAGAGAGGAAGAGACTCTCACAATGAGCACAGAGTCGGAGCAAGAGCAGCAAGACGGAGAAAAATCGAGCGCCCGCGCACCCCGGAACCTCCAAAGGCTCCCTTATGAAGTGCCTGGTGGAATAGGGAGCCAGTCCTTAGGAGCCAAAGGCGAGTCGAATAGAGAGGAGGAAGCCAGCTAGTTCTTCGGAGAATGCCCGTGCCCGCCTCAGGCCCGAGTTTGCGCTGCCCATGCCAGCCTCGCCCACAGACGAGGAACACCAGGGAGCGGAGGGAGGGGCGTTTGGCTGCTGTGTCTCGCAACATGTACCTCTGGCCCCGCACACCGCAAAGCGTGTGCAGGGTGAAGCCAGTTTGGAATGCCTGAGCGACGACGAGGACTGAATGTTTTCGTGGGAGTTGGAGTGTGACGCATGCAGTGCACTTCGTCATGTTGTTCTCTCGGCTACGGTGCATGTTGCTCTGCATGCTACTTCGACACGCAGCTCCCTCTCAAAGGATCCGTGCATCAACACGGACCCGAGCGCCATCATGCTCAATCAGCTGGTGGAAGGCTTTTGATGGGCGCAGTGCCGGTGGAAGGCTCTGGCAAGCTTGAAAACTTCAGTGTAGTTCTGGCAAGGCTGCGGCGGCGATCGAAGCTTGAATGGCCTGCTTCCGCATGCCCAGTTCTGAACTGCGGGGCCAGCTCTCAGCTCGTTGTCACGCCAGCTATGAAGCCTTTCCGCTTCGGCAAGCTTTGCTGTGGACAGCCCTACTACCTGGTATTGAGCTTGCAAAAGCAGAGCCTTCGCGGTGTGCAGGCCCTGTTGTTTCCAAATACTAGGCTGTTTGGCAAACGGGTTGCAGACCTCGTGACATCTCAGCTGATCGTTGGGCTAGTAGCCATGGTTGATTGAATTTCAATGAATTCGGGTGTGCAGAATCCACCTGCTGCTTAGTGGCGTAGTTTCAGGGGGCTGAGGGCCAGGCCCGGTGCGAAATGCGTATCGGGCCACAAAGATGCTTGCCACATCTTGCCCTAGTCTTGCCCCAAAGGGTTGTGGGAGGAGCTCCAGCCAAGGGCCAAGGATCTTGGAAGGAGTGGCGTTGTGAGCTTTGAACGCTTCTGTTTCAGCCTTTCAGTTCATCCCGAAACTCTTCAAGGAGTCCATGCCATAACCCTTTCGCGATCAGCGTAGTGGAAACACGACCCCTGCAATTAACGGGAGGCTCAATGGCTCAGTACTCAACAGTCGTTATGCGCTTGGGTGATTAGCGGGGCCAAATTTTGGCAATGCTGAGTCGACCACTGCAGAGGCGCAGCGTCATGCGGCAGCTGCGGCGGAAAGCCTGGTGCCCAGCCAGGGCTGCAGGATTGAACTGTGCGCCACCAGCTTCTTGATTTGCCGTGCAAGAGGCCGGATTGTTCACAGGTGGCTGCACTATGCTGCACTTTGCATTTGCAGCTCGTTGCATGCTTTGTTTGTCATAGCCTGTGGGGCCATTTGGGTCAGTGGCTTCCTACTTTGCATGCTTGTCATGGCACCTGGTGACAGCACAGAAATTTGACGCACAAGCTGCAAGCTCGCACAAGGTCCTTGAGCACACGGGGTCTGGCTGGTACAGTTTCCTTAGTAGCACAGGTCCTGTGCCAAACGCGAATCCCGGTGTGGCTTGGACCTCAGCCACCTTCAGCCACCTTCGCGGTACCTTTGAGGAGGGCTATAGGGCTAGCTCAAGAGTGGGGAGGGCTTCATTGGCGAGATCTGACGCCGGTGCAAGGATTGAAAGCCAAGCCGGCAAGCGATCGTGGGGTCGAGTTCGCGTTCTTGCCCAAGGTTGAGCTAAAGCTCCCTAGCAAGACCGAGCCGCTGCAGGCAGCGAGGGATGGCCGAGGGATGGTCTTGAGAGCTGCTTCAGTCGACATGCACCGATAATCGCAGATTCAAGTTCACAGCAAGCTCGGACCCAGCCGTTGCCACGCCGAATCTCATGTCCATCTGCCGGGCAGCGTCTCAGAGCGACTTTCCACTTCCAGATCTCCAGGTGCAGATCGCAGACACCAACCGACGCGCCATCTGGAGGACCGCAGCGTTGCTTTGCTGGGCCGGACGAAAGCCCCGTGACTTGTTCTTGCATCTGCTCTTGCAACCTGTGCGTGAAGTGAGATGGAACCTTTGGATATATTTCTGGCTAAACATCATAGGTCGCACGTAAAGGTTCCCGAGAAACCCAGAGGTGCAAAAGAGGTACATGACAGTGATGCCAGGCTGCTTCGGTCCAGTGCCGCTCTGATGAACTTTCGGGGGAGCGGTTCCAGCGGCAGGTAAAGGGCGCTGACAGTGTCCAACAGCGCGTCAACGAAGCTCAGATCATCGTGCTGCCTGTAAGCACATCTCTCTGCTTGAGGTCACGATGCTGATAATGGTTGCTGGCGTCACGGTCTTTGCAGAGGGCCTGGCCGGCAATGTACAGAAGGCCGACTGAGCAGAGGGCCTTAACTCGCAGCGCTCTGCAAATCGAGCTGCCTGCGGCCAGGGATTTGGCATGGGCTCCAAGAAGATCACTCCGGTGGAGGTGCATGCGGGATGCGGCATGCCGGGCATGTTAAGTCTCGTGAGGGGTTTATGTCACACCGACTTGCCCAGGAGGTGAACACGACCTTCGAGGACGTGAAGGGCTGCGATGAGGTCAAGGCCTGGATCTCCGAACATCCACGAAGGGCGAAGAACGCTGGGCCATGCCGGGCCCTTGAAGCTTTGAAGTTATGGTCCCAGGAGGAGCTGCAGGAAATCATCCTCTACCTTCGTGACCCGGATCGCTTCACCCGGCTTGGTGCGAAGCTTCCGAAAGGCAGAGGGAAGAGAGATGCATAAAATGAGCCCTTCTTTTTTTTGGATTCGGCGCCGCCTTGCCAACTTCCGAACCTCTACGTATAGTGTACCTTTTCGTACGCTATGCAGCGATGCCTAAGATTTTTCGGGGTCAGGGTCTTCGCATGTGCACTGGCGGATGATCTCAGTAGACCGAGGATGCTTCTCAACGCTTGTAAGCAGGTCTTGCTTGTTGCTTGGGCAGCGCGAGAGATAGATGCACGGTCAAGATTTCCTGTCAAGGCGTGATGATGTCCGGCTCGCCGGGCACAGGCAAGACGCTGCTCGCCCGGGCCATTGCTGGCGAGGCTGGCGTCCCCTTCCTGCAGGCCGGCACGGGCCACGGCCACCGTTGGCCTGTCTCAGCACTGTGACGCGGCCTTGAGGCATCGGGATCGGAATTCGAGGAGATGTTTGTCGGAGTGGGTGCCCGGCGCATTCGAGACCTCTTTCAAGAGGCCGGGTCTGCGAAGACTGCGAAGCACAGGCATGATTGGGCCGCTCCAGCCCCGCAGGCCCGCAAGCATGCGCCCTGCATCGTGTTCATCGACGAGATCGACGCTGTGGGCTCCAAGCGCTCCAACCGGGACAACACCGCAGTCAGGACAGGGCCGCGAGGCATCACCATCGATAGTCAGACACTCTTTGTGATACTTCGGGTCGTGACGGAGTTCAAGGTACGGACGTGCAGTAGCAGCAGGTGACACATGAGAGGTCAGAGAGGCACATAGCAGCCGCCCGCGCTGCAGCATCAGTTCGAGGCCCTAAGTCTGCGAGGAGGCTCGACCAGCCTTTGCTCCTGCTTCGTGGTCTTCTGGTCGCACCTTATATAAGGCTTTAGGCGCAGAGCGTCCGATCCGACTCTGTCTACGACTTGTTGCTCGCCAATTCAACCCGTCTCTCTCCTGCGGGATCTGTCCCCTTTACGCCTGTGTGTTTTGCTGCTCACGGCTTCTTTCGGGGGCTAATAGCTCCAACAGTGCAGGATGACTCTGAACCAGCTTTTGGTGGAGATGGACGGCTTCGAGAACAACAATGGCCGAGCCGTCGCCTTTGCTCCTTAGGGAGACTCTTTGAGGTAGCGGGGCTCTGTGCCAGGAGTGGTTGTCATTTGTGCAACGAACTTCCCGGAGTCCCTCGACAAGGCCCGGTCCGGACGATGGTGACGAGTGTGTGCCTGGCCTGCCATGTGACGGCTTTTCAGGCCCTCACTCGGCCTGGGCGCTTGGACCGGCAGATTGTAGTGCCCATCCCGGACCTCAAGGGCCGCATGGCCGGGGGCCCCAGCCAAGCCCAGCCAAGCGGCCAAAAGAAGTGAGGCAAGAGAGCCCAGAGAGCTGGGAGAACCGCCGAGGAGATTCTGGAGATGTATGCTTCCAAGTTGATCCTGGACGAACATGTGGACCTGCGAACCCTCGCTCGGCGGACTGCGGGGATGACAGGTGCCAGCCTGCCTTGGGACTTTGTCGTGGCCCTGAAGACAGGGCATTGAGAGTCAGACCCCGAAGGTTCTCTACAATGACTCCGCAACTTTGGGCTCAAGGGAGGGTCCGAACAGCCAGCAGACGGCCACCCGACTTCTGACGCGCTGCCCCAGTGTCGCGCGCAGGGAGCTCAGGGATCAAGGAAACGACCCCAATGTACTCCAGTACTCCCGTGCTGCCGTGTTTGAGTGTTGTATGCTGCATGACTCGCTGATCCCTTGACCCTTGCATGGGGGCTCCAAACGAAAAGCGTTGACTTAATAACACTGTGGTAGGGGCGCGGGGATGAGGTCTGGGTTGTGTGCTATTGTTGGTGTACTGCGGCCGCGGTGTCAACCCAGAACCAGTAGCAGAACGTGCTGCTGTTGCCGTAGTCATAGGGGACCCAATAAGTGCTGTCCATTTAATATCAAGGAAGTGGTCGGGAGACGGGTCATGCGTGACCCCTAAGCCCGGCAGACAGAAAGAAAAGGGTCTTTGGTATTCTGGGACAAGTAGGAGGCTTGCGAAGAAGGAGTATGCGCGGAAGAGAAGCTGGAGCATGGGACTTTGGACACGAATGCCACCTGAATTGAAGCCCAAATGGGCACGATGCCACGGAGCCACTGAACCTGTGCGATGTCACAGGAACTACCGGCAAACCTCACCGGACAGGCACGACAGAACGACGTACTGGTAAGTGAAATGCAGAAAAAACCTTCTGGTACATGCTGCTCGGCCAACAGGATCTTAGTCCTTGGTGAACACCGTGATGAGATGCCGTTTGCTTGTATCGGGAGCAAATTCTGGCAGCTTTGGACTTGCAGCTGCAAAGCAGTTGGGGTTGAGGCCGAAGCATGCAGTGCTCTGCAGGTCTTTCGGACATGGTGAACATTCCGAAGACGCGGAACACCTATTGCAGGCCAGGGCACGGCGCTCGGGACACTGGGCGCGGCGTAGCTCTGTGACGCTACCAGGAAATGCAAGAAGCACACGCCCCACAAGGCCGGTGTGAGATGCGAAGATCAGGATGTCGAAGAGGGGGACATGCAAGGCTGTCAACAATCCGCCCATTGCTGAGCATTCAGTGGTTCCAGGTCTCGCAGTACAAGACGGGCAAGGCATCCCTTAGCGCTCAGGGCAAGAGGCGGTACGACAAGAAGCAGGCCTGAGGGCATCGTGGGATCGTTGCGGGTTGCAGGATATTCGTCAGGGGGGTTTTCAGTTGCAGTGCGGTGTGGACCACAGTGCAACGCTCAACGCATCAATCCGTGGTTGCTTGAAGAGTGGGAGTACAGGCGCAAAACGAGTAATTGAGGGAATGGTATCCTCGTCCGTGACGTGCCTCAAAGCCTTTAGCAGGCCGGGTTTGGTGGACAGACCAAGCCAGTGTTCCACAAGAAGGCGGAGTCCCTGGTGGACGGCTACACTTGGTTTGGTTGCGGGTGTGGGATGTCCCTGCAGTCTGGGAATGCCCGAAACCAAGCGAAACATGTGGCCGTCCTGGCAACGCGTAGAGGCGAAGACGACCAAGAAGATCGTGCTGTCCTAAGCGAGGATTGCAGTTGAAGCTCCATGTGCCACATGCAGAGATAAGTGCTAAACGCACAAGCGGACTGAGGTCCTGAAGTTTGAGTGCACGAAGTGCAAGGCCAAACGCCCCTTGGACACGACTAGCCCGATCTGTCCGCGGCGTGCCGGTCGGGGGGGAAGTGTCAAGCATCTGCTCAAGGTGGTAGTGTCCGGATCCGATTGTAGGAAAAGACGGAAGAGATCTGTAATTCTCTAGCCGCCGAGTGCGCTGAGGCATGAAGCCCATCAAGCGCACCAAGCACTTCGAGCTTGGAACGGACTCGAAGAAGGGCAAGAGCGAGTGCGCCTGTTGCGATGGGTCATGGGATTTCCATTCTATTCACACGAGAAGGTCTCGAGAAGGATGCTAAACCCATGTGCTGCTCTACTGCACGGGTTCGCTCAAGGTTACGGGTTACGAGGACCCACATCAATGTGTCCTTTAAGGGCAAGGACATGCAAGGACTCAGGCTGACACCAGAAAGCAGAACTCAAGCCAGTGCGATGCCGTGGCCAGGTACGGCGGCAAGTACCGATAGGCGTCAGGATTTGGAAGCTGCTGGCAGCGGAAAAGTCAAGATCCGGCAAGGGGCTTGTGTAGGATGTACGGGGTGGACTAGCCAACTAGATGGATAACGGAATGGCGTATACTGAAAGCACCCAGCTCCTGCATTAGACATGTATCTGCCTGCGTGTAAATAACACAGTAACGCATCTACCCATCCGCGAATCCATCCATCCGTCCATCCATCCGTTCATGCTTACAGCCAAGCATTCTACTCACCATCGAGCTGCCGAGACTCCTCCGTGATACATGCGGCACTTGGCAATTAGGAGAACCTCCATGAGCCAGGCAGGCTTTCACTCTGCTGGATTCCTCATCTCATCCGGATTAGTAGGGAACAGTTCTTTTGCAAGCTCTGCCTATTAACGAGTATCTTCATGTCAGAATCTAAAGCAGTACACCCAACTTTCGCCACAGCGAGGTGTGTAGTAGCTTACTTCTCCGATCTTCTCCGTGGAGTTGCATCGTACACGAAAAATACCGCAGGCTCTGAAGAGCCTGAATGCAGACTTCTGGCAGGTGCCGACTTGGCCAACATCCTGAACATCGCAGCCGTTCGCTCCTCCGCCGACAACCTGCCTTGTGTGCGCCATGGTGTGGGCATGATGGCTTCCTACTGCCAAGATCAGCACGATCAACTGTACTGTTGTTTCCAAGCTATGCTGTCTGCTCATGGAAAACCGAAGCAGAACATTTTTTCATTCTCGTTTGGGTTTTGTGTCACCTCCAGCAACCTTATGCGATTTGTGCAGATTCCGACGAAGTACCTGGAGGAAGCGTTCGACCGAGTAGTCGTAGGTGCGCGGTTGCGGTCTTGCCACGGCTCGGGGGTTTCAGTGTGGAGCATTTGCAAGTATCCAGCTGGTGCAGAACGCGTAGATTTTAGGAAGCAGCAATTCAAGCTCTGAGGAAGTTTGTGCGGTTGATGCCGCAGCCCTAAATCCTGCATCATCCAACGGTTCCCCTGCCACCTCTAGACCAATTTTTCGCTGACATAGGGGCTAAAGCAAGGGCCTGCGGCAAATTAAGAGTTTTGGGGAAGTGGATAGTGCGGCATGGACCATGGGCGATGGCTATCAGCTGTAGCAGTTAGCACCAGTTCTGTTGGCTTGCATCTGCAGGCCTCGAAAGGCGAAATCCCATGAGCGAGCAAGAGAAGACGCTGACTGCGTATGCAGCTTAGCATCTGCTCTGGGTGTGATCCCTTAGATTCTGAGGGCACTGGCTTTTGCCCTGGGCCAGGTATCACGAGGGCGGCCACACGCTGGTCTCTATTGGCAACTCGGGGGCGGCGGGGTGTCTCAGTCTGCGAGACCACGTGTGTGGGGCACAAACAGGGTGAAGCTCCCATTTCTCTGGCTGAAAGGACCCGGTGCACAAAGCGACCATCATGCCTCGCACGGGCTCCGAGCTTTCACTGTGGGTTCACTTAAGCTCGCCGAGCCCTCACTCGTAGCTAGCGTAGGCACGGTGGCTTAGAAAGAAAGAGAAGGCTGCGGCTAAGCCCTCCTCTAAGCTTTCATTGCCGATATGCGGATGTTGGTGTGAAGCAGGAACAGGCATGGACAAGCAAACTAATGCAACCATCAGAGGCAATCTTAGGATAAATGGGGTGCAAAGTGCAAGCGGACAACATACATTCCGATGCAAAGCGGCAGCTTGACCTTTCTAGTTAAATTCCAGCACTAGAAGATGGAGCCTTTCCAATTCAGCACTTGGAGCATCTTTCCAAGTAGTTTGAATTAGCACGAAGGCCACCTGTTGCAGACAGCTGCGATATCGTTCGTAAAGTGAGTGAATGTAGTGGCAGTCAGCCCCTCAACCTTGTGACGAGCTCTTGAAACCTCCTCTCTCTTCCCTCTCTACATATGTATGTCTGCATACGTGGACCTAGACCTTAAACTCTGGAGACCGGGCTTTCAAGAAAGTCGCCAAGGTGGAAATGCCTTGGGAGTCACGTGGGCCTGACCGCGTTCTGTTTGTGTGCGCAAGTTTCTGCAAATTGGGTTGTCCTAGTGAGTCGAGAGTTGGCCAGCTGCGGTGCACGGCACAAGTGACGTTGAGATTAGATCTTCCCCCTGTTGCACTACTTGCCAGTTGGAGCATTCCCGAGAGGGAGAAGTACTCGGAAAGGCTATTCGAGCTTCAGGCTACTGGGCGAGATATCCTTCTCCAACCACCGCCAACAACTGCAACAATTGCAACAATGCTGCTACAGCATCAGCACCAGTGCTGTCTGCGCCGCCTTTCATCACTATCACCACGCCGTCACATCACCATCGGCATCACCATCATCATCGTCATGATCCTCATCCTATCCACCATCACCACCATCACCGCCATCACCGCCATCACCACCATCACCACCATCACCACCATCACCACCATCACCACCATCACCACCATCACCACCATCACCACCATCACCACCATCACCACCATCACCACCATCACCACCATCACCACCATCACGACCATCACCACCATCACGACCATCACCACCATCACCACCATCACCACCACCACCACCACCACCATCACCACCATCACCACCACCATCACCACCACCATCAGCACCATCACCACCACCTCCACCATCATCATCCTCATCATCATCATCATCACCATCATCATCGCCATCGTCATAAACAATCGCCACTTGGTAGCAGTAGTGGTAACCAGCGGTGTTGGTTGCGTGCTGCGGACAGTTAACACCCACCAAAGCAAAAACAAGAAGTGCATCTACAATGCAGTAGTCAGTGGTCAGGAGTGGTGGTAGTCCTTGTCGTAGTCGTGGTCATAATTCCAGTCCTCTCGTCGTCGTCTCAGTCGTGCCGGTACTAGTACGATTAATACTGGTACTGTACGTCGTAGTAGCACGAGCAGTAGTAGCAGTAGTAGTGGTCATCGTACTAGTCCTCGTCGTTGTCGTCTTCGTAGCCGTAGTCGTAGTGGTAGTAGTAGTGCTAGTGCTAGTGCGAGAGCTAGTGCTAGTGCTGGTGTCGGTGCTGGTGCTGGTGCTAGTTGTAGTAGTAGCGGTAGTAGTGGTCGTCGTGGTACCAGTGGCGGCAGTGGCAGCAGTGGTAGTAGTGGTAGTAGAGGTAATACTGGTAGTAGTGGTGGTACATACTGGTAGCGGTAGTACTAGTAGCATCAGGAGGAGGAGTAGTGGTCGTGCTAGTGGTCGTAGCAGTAGTAGTGGTGGTAGTGGTAGACCTGGTGGCGGTGGTGGTAGTAGTGATAGTCCTACTGCCACTACTGCTACTACTACTACTACTACTACTACTACCACCACTACAAGTGGTCGCTGCAGTGGACTGGCAGTGGTAGTGGTTGGTAGTGGTAGTGGTGGTGGTAGTAGTAGTAGTAGTAGTAGCAGCAGCAGTAGCAGTAGCAAGAGCAACAGCAGTACTAGCGACAGCAACAGCAGTAGCAGTAGCAGTAGAGGCAGCAGCAGGAGCGGGAGCGGGAGCAGGAGCAGGAGCAGCTACAGCAGCAGTGGCAGTGGCAGTGGTGGTCTGCTCTGGTTTGTTTGCTCTGTGCAAGACTCCAAAAGTCAGACAGAAATGCTGGGCCTCTTTGTGAGGCACGTCTGGATGTCCTGATGGGTGGCAAAGCTGCAGAGGCGCCGTGGCTGTAAGTCAACGTCTTGTGAAGTTGAAGAAGGCAGGGTTGAGGATGTGGTGATGGTTGCAAGCCGTACTCAGCATTTTGCCGCGTATGCTGTGCCACCCTTCTGGGTCGTGTGTGTCGTGGTTGTCGAGCGATTGAAGAGGCATTGAGTGGGGGAGCGCTGCGCGACACCTTCATGCAAGATGTCATGCCCAGGAGCTCATCTTCGGGCCAGAGAATGTAACTGCTGGCTGCACGTCCGACCTGCGGCAGGCGCGCACCTGCACCCAGACTGATGCACGCACTTTTGCAAAGTCCACGCAAGCAGAACCTTGGATGTTGAGTGTCTTTTCAGGCTTCACCATGAAGGCTTCTGTTTGTCACTCAAGGGGCCAATTTCGTTCTCGTCCGCCCTGAAAAGACACTTCACCCTTCCCTTCCGGTCGTGTTGTTGCTGTCCTTGACCATGGAACTCAAAGAGCAGTTTCCGAATGGTATTCAGGCCGATAGTAGTTCGAGGCCCTGTTCTGTCCACCTCTAGATCAGCAACAGCGACGGCATGTTCCCTGCGTGCAAAATCACTGAGCCGTGGTTGAGCCAGAGAGCCCGGACATGCTTGGAGGCGACAGGCTTGGCCCGGCGAATGGTCATGAACTTCGGCATGGCAGGCGGTAAGGAGGTGGGGCAGTGGATGTTGAGACGATGTCCCATGCAACCAAGCAAGAGGAGAGTTGGCAAGCGCAGTTTGGTGCTGCACTTTGCTTCTCAATGAACAGTTAAGGCTGGCCTCCTCTCACTAGACGTGGACGAGTATGCAGTCCTCTCTGACGAGGTACCCGAGAGTAATTGAGCGGGATCGCCTTCCGAAGGAAGGTTTTCCAGTGTGTGCCGAGGACTCTGCGAGAAACACTAGAGTTCCCTTTAGGGCCGTGAATATATATATATATATATATATATATATATATGTACACATACACACACATGTGTATACACACATATATATATACACACACACACATACATACATACATACATACATATGTGCATGCGCACTTAAGTACGTGCTATTTGTATGTGGATTTGTATGTGTATGCATATGCAGATGGGCATGTGTATGTGCATGTTTGCGCATATGCTTTATGTACATGTGGTATATACACGTACATGGTGTGTGTGTATATATATATACACACATAAGTAGAACATGTTCATGTGCATTTCATGCATGCGCATAGTGCTATCTTTGAGTATACTCAAAGATGTGCGTACACACAAACTTACATCGATGCGCACACACACACAAACACGCCTGCATACCTGCCTGATCTCTCTCTCACCGCCGTAAGAAGTCCTTACGATGCGTCGGAGTCGGCAGCTTCTAGCCGGCATCTCAAGGATGCGTACCCGGTAGTTGTTGGGTACACGTAAACAGAGGCCGTGCTTTAGAGCGCGGCATACATATCTGCATTTAAAACTACATATACTACCTACTAAGGCAAAGCTGAACAGATGGACGCACATGAACATGTACACACAGACGTCCAGATGCACATACAGAAGCGCACACATATATAATCTGTATAGTCAGATGTATGCTGTATGTCGCTACTGCTGTCATCTGATAGATGCCGCTCGCCACCTTAACCAGTGCAGCCAGATTGCCAATAGCCAGAGGCCAAGCAGATTATCGACCACAAGACCCAGTCACTTCTGCGACTTGCCTGAATTCTCGTGCCTGCCCTCCGTGCGTGTTGAAGCATCCAAAAAAAGCGGGCCACCAAGGAACGATGCCTATCATCGAGCCTCCGAGTATCTCAGGCCAAGCCCCCGCGTCGTTGAAGAAATTGTTTTGCGTTGTTACGGCAGGTCATTCGAAAGCATTCAATCCTTGGTCGCTGACACCAACCTCAGGACACACCGCGACGAGCTCCACCATCTAGCGAAGGCACGGGTCTTCTCTGGGAATGCGTATGCGAGTCGCATGGGAAGAGGTTCGACATATGTATTATGACATCAATGGCTGCAGACATAGCCGAGAGAATCGTCATGTGCGAAGACTACTGACACTCAGGATATTTCCAGGCAGATGGATTGCCTTGTTTTTGCAACATGTTGTCTCTGAGTGAGACAGGCTCTGATCGAGTACGAGACTCTCAGCGCTGAGGACTTGAAGACACTCCCTGGCAGTGGCATGAAATCAGGTTTTCGCACGGTCGCCGCAGATGTGCACCATTCAGACAAAACCCGCATGTCTCAGCTTTCTGTTCTCTCAAGCTTCACCTTCGCATCCGGACAGTGAGCCCTATCCATTCCGCTGAGCTGACTGAGATCGAGAGGAAATCCAGCTAGCGATCAAGGGGCAGGCGCAGGACATTGGCGGCCGCCGGAAGCAGGAGGTCTGAGCGTGCAACGCTCCACAAGGGTTGGGTTCGAGGGTCTGCGAAAGCCTCCAGTCGGCACAAACAGGCGGAGACGACGAAGAAGGAGATGGAAAATCTCACGCCGAAGGAGACGCTGCGGTTGGTGAAGCGGTCGAAATTGAATACTCGGCCTTGCCCGGCATCTGATCGTGTTGTTGCCCCGATACGTCATAAACTCACCCGCTTTGGCCACTTGAAAGAGATGCACTCAGGAGGGGGCGAAGGTGCCAGCGCGGCCGGAGCCAAAAAAGGCACGGGGCATCCAGGGCCTCTGAAACTCGTATGCCTGCGAGGATGGACCTTGTCGCTTTGGTTCGCGTCACTGTAGGGCTTCAATTAGCTGCCGCACCATCTCGCAGACCTGGGACAGGCGCCCAAAACCTTCGAGGCGCAACCTGCAGAAGAGTGACGCAGGCAACCGTCAGGGACTCTTTGTGGGACCCCCGCCGCGACGCCACGACCGCCATCGTCCACCACTGCCACCGCCGCCACCATCGCCACAAACACCAGCATCAGCACCAGCACTGGCAGCAGCGCAACAAGCAGGTGACAATGCCTATAAACCGAGCTTCCCACATCTTAACGCAAGCATTGTGGAACTTGACAAGGCAAGACGTCAACCCCTGAGTCTTCCAACCAATGCGATTTTCGGGCCGAGCTGCTAAAACTGGCAGGTCTGAGAAGCCCCGTGTACAGATGTGTCACCCCTTAGCGATAGTTCCGGCTCTTGCTCCCTGAAGGCCATGAATGAACTGGGCTGAGACACTGCAGGCAGCGCAGTCGGAACTGATCCTGCGGGTTTTGGACCAGGGATCGCTGGCAGGCAGCACAGCTTTCAGTCGACCCGGGAAGATGCCGGAAAGCTCCGAGAGCGGACCAGCGATCCTTCGGACGCAGTCGGGCAGTCACAGATTCTGAAGCTCAGAGCCGCTTCTGACGCGAAGCAGCGCGGTTGCTCGGGCCGGGCAGGATCGCTTAAGAGGCAGAGTCTCTGGCTCTGGCCTCTCTGGATCCGGAAATATTTAACGCCTGAGACGAATTTCATCTCTAGCTCGTGCCCGATCGCCCCCGATCACGAAGACACCGAAAAGCAGACCGGAGCAATTCCCGAGCTTTGGGCCTGTAGCCAAGTGCCGAAGAACTTACTCAGGGTGCTCGGAGATGGCCGATAGAGCGGTCCTCCGGACGAATGATAGGTTGGCTGCCGCTTCGCCACCACTCGAAGCTCGAAGCCCACAGTACAGCAGCGGCCGGCAAAGTCCAACAAAGCACAAAAGAGCAGCTCGACCGATGCCAACACCCTGAGCCCTAAGCCAAGATCTTGAGCCCTCCACGCCCCACCTTCGAGTGCCCGCAACTGCCCGCCGGGGCTCCTGCAGTCTCGGAGGATGCGGGCCGGGGGCTAAGATGCTGCGTAAGCGAGCTGCGTCATATGTAAAGACAAGCTGCCTGCTTCGTCTCGTTCAAAGCGTAACCACCACAGCCTCGGCTGTTGCCGGCCCAGGTTTCGGCTTCCAGCACCCTCGAGGTGCCCTGGCTTTACGAGGGGCCTAGCTGTTGTCCTGCTGTGCACGGCGGCATCGCCATCCTTGAAGCTGGGAAACCCTCCGCCAAGGGCTTCGGCTGGACAGCCCAGCGGCCACCAGGAACAGTCGGGACAGCTTTGGCCAGGGGCCCAGAAATGAAGTCCTGACAGTTTGGTAGGCTCGTCACGAAGCGAGACGCTGTGGCCACGAACTGACTTCCCGGTCGGCCTGACTCATAGATTTAGCAGTGGTCCAAACCATTCCAGAAATCCCGAGCTCGATGTATTCGAGACCCTCACCTCTCTCTTTCTCTCTCTCTGTCTGCTCTCTTCGAAGGGGAGATACTGGGGGCCGACGGAGCACCAGCCGAGGCTGCCTCGACAGTGGATCCCTTACACGACCTCGCGGCTTGGCGGCAGCGAGCGGCAGCGAGGGAGATTTTTGAGAGTCCAAGTCAGATGCTGTCGCTTCCCAGGTGCCGATCAGAAGGCGAGCTCTCCGCGCCGTTCTCGCCCTGGGTTCTGACCATGCTCCGTGTGTTTCCATGACTGCGTTTTGCTTTGAAGACCCTCTCCTGCATCCTGACTTGTCAGTCACATGTGCCATGTGCTGCCCGACATGGTCCCGGTAGGCAACAAAGCAGCGAACCGCAGTTGCTCAAGTGTGACCCAAAAACCATGTGGATTTACCGGTTAAAGGCTCTGTTTGCAGGTTGGAGACAAGAAGCTGCCAAGGCATCCAAGGCCAGCGGCAGCGGGCCATAGGCCAGAGGCCTCGTTTCCAGAATTCAACTAGTGCGGATTCCATGGTGAGACGAGAGCCATAGAGATCCCACGCGACTCTACCGGTGCGCCGCGATCCCGCTGCCATGGACTTCCTGCCGGACCGGGCGGCAGTGAGAGTGAGATGTAAACGTAAGCCATCGCCATGTTCACATGCTTGCTTGCAATGCCACGCGCCGCTGTCTGGCAGCCTGATTTTCACGTTGAGTCTGCAACATTCCCGCAGGCAGAAAGGTCCGAATCGCTGAGTGGTGGGCGGGAGAATACGATGACGAGTGAGGAGCAGGAGCCCGAAACCTTGGCACAATTGGGGGTTGCGGGCAAGGATCGGCACATCCAGGTCCAGGACACTGCATGCACGATGAGCAATGGAGGAGAGGTGATGGGATCCGTCCAGCTGCCTGCTGCCAAGGACACGCTGGAGATGGTGGAGGCAGAAGCAGAGCGCGAGCCGGGTGCTATCGGAGGGTGCCAGCTTTCAAATTGTGATGTTTTTATTTAGTATGGCATGGAAACACATCAAAAAAGCATTGCATGTGGCTTGCGTACTGCTGGTAGTGACGGAAACAGGGCCTGCCTGCCGTGAAGCCCGGTTTGTATGGAAAAAGCTTCAACGGCCGATGGCTTTAACCGGAAGCGGCCAGTGTATTCCTTATGCCCAACATCGGAAGCAACACATGCTAAACCTACACGCAGGGCTATACCCACCACGCCAACGCGCGACAGTTGTTGTCAAGACACGAAGTTGCCCGATATGTCCAGGCTTCCGAAGCAATCGTTTTGTGACGGATTGGGCTGAGCATTGATTGTTTTCTGCATTACCTCTATGCCATCGTTTATGACCCTTTGGCTGCTGCTGGGTTCTCTCACTGCGTTCTGGCCTGCGCCGTTGTTGTGCAGGCAACAGTCGAAGAAGATCTGACAGAACTGGAGGAAGAGGACGTCTGCATTATTGCAAATTGAGTTTCTGTTAAAGCGGCAGCAGTAGAGCTGTCGAAACCTGTGTGAAGCTGTCCTCCAACCATTACAAGCTCCCAGTAGAGGACCGTCGACACCTGACGAAGATCGGGGTACGAAGTGCAAAACTGGACTGCTGTGCCAACTTTGGAATCATGACTTACTCAGGAGGAAGAGACCACCGAAGCGGAGGAGAGCAACACTCCGAATGGCATGGTCAAGCACGTCGTTTGACTGCACTTCAGCACACCTCGCAGCTGAATCCTCTCCCGCTGCGACAGAAGTGCCATCCAAGGCTGCCTTCTCCAAGTACGAGACAGTGTATGACGCAACCTTCGATGAGCTGCACCTCCCTCCGGAAGTTTCCGACGAGATTAGACAAACCTGGCAGGACCGAAGAGCTCAATTCCAGTCCGTTTGAGTTCGTGTCAGCTTAAGGTGTCCTGTCGCACACTATGGGTCGTACCAGGCCCTCATATCAAAGATGGGGTCTCGAGAAGCGGTTGGGGAAGCAATTTATGACACTATCATGGACGAGGCCCGGGGATGGCTTCGGCCCAACTATTAAAGATGTTGCCTTTCTATGCCGAAGCTAAAGCTGAAGGGATTCACAAGCTAATCATGTGAGCCTGGCGCAGGCACCGGGCCTGAAGCAGTTCTTCAAGTCGCCGAAGTCCGCCTCCTGTCAGCCAGAGCACAGTAGCGCACAGCAGCGCACAGCAGCGCATGGCATGGCGCATGGGGCTGTTCCCAGGACTTTGGCAGTAAGCACAACGGCCCCCGGAATTCAACCGGTCTCAAAGTCCGGCCCAAGGTTTTCGCGCTGCGGTTCTCGAACGGCATGAACAGTGACTTGGCGGTTTCGCAAGCTTCCTGCCTCTGTTGGCACCCTGGCCGCTCACAGGCATGCTGTCAGAGCTGGACTCGCCGTCTTCCTTCAAGAAAGTTGTGGACACCCGAAGCGTTCGAGAGATGCTTTGAGCTTTCCTTGGTCTACACACAGTGGCTTGTGGTGGCACATCTCGCAAGGAGACCTACGGCTTCATGCACTTAGATTTCGCGGTGACGGCCCCTCGGGTGGAGCTCGTCCGTGAAGCCATCATCAGCGTTGCAGACATGGAGCTAGGCAGGGACGAGGGACGGCAGGGATTGCGAGCTCTGTCCGCCGTGGCAGTCGCACGAGCACTGCGTCCGTGCATCCCATGCAGGTGGCAGCTTCACAGATAGATCGCGCCAGTGCTTCATCTTGTTGTTGAACTACATCGGAGGAGGGTGAAGCATCTGGGAGCTGTTGCTACCACGGTATATGACGCTTTCATAGATGGACAGCCTCCATAACGTGCCATTTCGGTCTGGTTTGTTTTAGGAGCATTCGTCTTCGTGCTGCGAGAGCTCGCAGACCGAATCAGGACGGCCCGGCCAGCAGGGGTAGACGAGTTTGATTTGGGGGTGTCCTCAAAGTCTCTTCGAGAAGCCGTTCCGTCTTAGTCTTGTCTTGAATGCCATTGCCTTCAAATTTCCAAGTCTTCCTCTGGGAGGATCATCCAACGCAGCTGGCAGCTGGTGAACAAGACAGAGACTCTCGAGAACGCCGTGCTTCCGGAAGGCCACAACGCATAGGGCATAAGGAGCTTTTGCTCTGACTTTAATCGGTTTCGTCAGAAGTTTTCAGCAGGGCCTCGGACAGCACCGTCTGCAAGTCATGCAGTCACCGTGGGACATGAGATGTTGCTGCTACTGGTAGAGCGCACTATAGGCTCTCCTGCTTTCGTAGAGGGGGTCAACAGCCCTCCAGGTGCAGAAGCCACCAAAGACCCGAACAAGCCAGAGGAGGACTGAGCGCTCTTCTGTTTCCTTGAAGAAGCAGCTGCTGCTCGCGTCTCGGAATTGCCCCTGCAGGAAGGAGAGGAGACCAGTCCCAAAGCGGACAGCAATACCAACAAGGCGACGGGAGCGGGGAACACGTCCGCACAGATAGTGTCGATGCGGGTCATGGTGCCCAGGACTCAAAGAAAGGCCGCGTCCAGACCAAGCCAAACCCAGACCAAGAACAGCAGAGCTGCTCAGCTGCTGAAGCAGATTTCGAACTTTCCTGCGAGTCGAAAGAAGCCAAGGGGGGAGCTTCATGATTGGCGCAAAGAACA